TACATACAAAAGTAGCTCAAGGCGGATCCTAGGTAAGAATAACCCAAGGTTTGGGGAATGTGTTTTTTTTAGGCAGCCCTATTCTCTGTCCCAGTTCCTGAGCAGACTCATCATGATCATGGTCTTTGGTTTTGGTGCTTAATAAAGCAGGAGTTTCCTGCAGGAGTGGGATGCTGCTACCATGGACATGAGGCTCAGGCCTTTGGTGCTTTGGGAGGGGATGGTACTTCTTCCATCTGCAAGAGCAATTCCCACCAGGACTTGAACGACTCTTACAGTAAGTTTCACTTGGAGCTAATGAATAGTTCTCAACTTAAAAAGAAATAAATAGATATATCCCCAAAGTACTAATGGATCCTACTATACTGCAGCTCAGCGTGCTTTACAATAAAGGATGCAAAAGCTGCCATCAGATTTACACTCATTTAAAGGTTTCCACTTCTGATGCTATTATTATTTCTGATGTAATACTGAAATGTATTTTAAAGACAGCTGCATTAGATTCCAATTCTGCTTTGAAGTAGTGCTACCAATCTCATTAAATCATCATTCTCTGTGTTTGCACCCTGCAGATGAGCTGTACTGCTTTCCAGAGAACTCTGAGTCCTTCTGAGGTCTGTGGAGCCAAATTCATGGCTGCCCAAACTCACAGAAAATACCTGCAACCATTTCAGAGCCAGGTGGAAACACCCTGGGAACAGCCAGCAGAGTAACATACAACAGAAACAAGTATTTTCCTAAAGCACAGAATGATTGATGAAAATATATCCAAACAAAATGGAAAATGAAAGCAGGACTGAAAGTGGGAAGTTTGGGACCTCTATACAGAGTTTATACTACACTATACTTACCTACAGCGGTAGCTATATTCATAACTCAGTTCTCCCCCATACTGAAGAGCTCAAGGTGTTCTCCAGCCTTACCCTTCACAGCCCTGCATAGCTACTCCTCTGAGACAAACCATTAAAACTGTCCACTTTGGGGTCATTACTGATCATTCAGGTTCCCATCTGAAACCTCAGTAACAACTCAGGCCAGGGAGTTTGGCCAGAACTGGGCTGAATGTGGTTGTTAGCAATTTAAGTCTTCAAAAACCAGTAAGGTATTGCTCTAGTAAAGCCTAGAGTTAGCAAATGAACTCTAGGATGTACATTTCAAGCCAGGCAGAAGTGTTACCAGCCTGGGAACAGCTGTACTGCTGGTGGCTTCTTGGGTTTTCTTCATTCAGTCACCTCTGAGGTGCTGAAGATCATGAGCTGCAAACACTCCTCCTTACTTTCACATTCTGGGCATTACCTGTGCCAACAGCTACTGTTTTATGGCTATCACCAGTCTCCCTCATTTTCCCTCCTTCCCCCAGAGTTTATGTTGGTATATACCACACTTTCCACTCTGAAGATCCCAACTGTGGTTCTCTCTTCATGGTGTCCCACTGACCACAAGAAGATCACCCCACTGGTGGGGTGCACACCAGTTTCTCACTCATGGTCTCCATTCTGGCCTATAAATTGCCTGTGTTGTCCTACTTAGCTGCCTTGGAGTCCTTCCACTGTACTTCTGCCTGGCTCTTAACAGCTGAACGAGCCTTCATAATATTGTCTGGCAGGACACTGACTTCCCATCAGCCTTCCAGAAATTCTTTATTCCTTTATGCTTTTGACCTACACAACAGCCTCTGGCAATAAGTTCTACAATTTAATAAGAAGTTACATGAGAATGTATGACTTTCTGGTTTAGACCTCATACCTCATAATTTCATGGGGTATCTTAACCTGTCCTGCTCTTAAAAATAATAGCCACCCCCTCTTCACTGTTTTCTAGCTAGCTAGGAGATCTCAAGACCTCTGCCCCATGCCTGACTATCTTTTTTGTCCTGATACGAAAACCATTCTGTCCTCATCCACTTCCTCAGGGTGGAATTCATATTAAAAAGCTTTGATTTCGTGTTGGAGTTTAGGTACCTACCTCACAGATTGACAACTACAGGTAGAAACCTAAATTTAGATGTCTGAGCCAAACAACTCCTACCCATCCTTTTTAGTTCTATTTTATTCTTTCTGAAGACTGGATGAACAGAACTGCACGTATTAATCAATACATGGGTTTGCCAAACATTTCTACAGTGACATAATCACATAATCACGTTTTTCCTTTTTTCCCTTTCCTAAAAATTTCTCTCATTCAGCTTGAATTTTGTATTGCTGTGGTCACTGCATCAGTGTTTTCACAGAGTTATCCTACCGCAATTCTATTTCTGAGTGATAATAATATAACACTCAAGCTGTAACTGAGTAAGTATAACTTATAATTGAATATGTATATTCCCAGACATGCTAATTTGCATTTATTAGCATTGACTTTCACATGCCATTTCTGATATAGTCCCTCACTGCCATGAGAACCATCTGCCTCTCTTCTCAGGGTCAGATTTGATACCCTCAGTTAATCTGGTGCCATCCACAAACCTTGCCACTGCAATATTCACCCCCCTTTCCACATCATTTATAAGGATATCAAATAGGTCCTAAATCAAACAGTTACATGACTAAATTGTAGAGCTCTTTTCACTGGGAAAGCTGATCTTTTTCCTTTTCCTCCCACTTCTTGTACCATTTTGTCTCCATCTTGTTTACTTACAAGAGGACATCTTATTATCTCAGCTTAACTACTTTAAGAGTCTTTGCAGAAAGACTTATTGACATTTGTTTGGAAGTCTGTACATACTTTATCAACTAGATCAGCCTTACCTACAAGCTTGTTGACATCTTCAAAGAGTTCAAATAGATTTATGAGACACGGTCTCCTTCTGCAAGAACTGTAATGACTTTTACCAAATAAATCACATTTATGAAATTGTCTACTGGTTCTCTTCTTTATTATTGTAGTTTTTGCCCACTTGCTCAGTTTGGGAGTGAGATTTACTGATCTGTGGGTTTCCACATTTGTCCTGGAGGCCTTCTTCTCAAGGCTGAAGACACATTTGCCACTTCTATTCCTTTTGCAGTGTGGTCAACTTAAATGACACTTTTCACGCTACATTTAGCTTTCTCTTAATCTAGTGTTTGAAGTCTTTCAGAACTAGATTGAGTATCATCTTATCTTCCTGCTTTCTTACGGTTCGTTTTATTGATTTGTTCCAAAATGTCCTCTGCTGAAACTTCATTTAGGGACAATTCCTCATACTCTCCACTGCTTCACCACTAATGTAGCCCCTCCCAGCCTTCCTCAATAATCTGTTCCCTATTATTACCATTTCCTACCCTTATGCCAAGTTTCTGAGGCATTTATTATATCAATAACTTCCTTTAAAATCAGACAGTCTAGTTCACCTCTTTTATGCTTCAGAGTTGCAGCATTTGTATAGGTATATTTCTACATTTTCTATTGATCTCGTTGCCCATTTTTCAGAAGGCCTGCTTAGCTGGGACTTTCATTGCTGAGACCATTCTTTGCTATTTCCTTCCTCAATGTTATTGATCTCAGTTCCTTCCATTTTTCTAAATTACAAGAATTTTCTTATTTCTCTTGAACCATGTGCTGTTGTTTATTTGGTTAGTTTGGAGAGTGAACTGTAAAAATACCTCATTGCTTTTGAATGTTAAAACCTAGTTTGCAATCTAGTCTCACATTGATTTATAAAGCTTATCTTTCTTGCAAAACCTGCCTCACAAAAAACCTGCTAGTCTGGTATTGTGACAATTTATAGCACTGTGATGCCACTCTCAAAATGTCTTTCCTACTTACTCCTCTGTGGTCAGTGCCCACATCACTCACACCACCAGCTCCCTCTAGCACCAGGGGTGGACACAAAAGCCCAGCAAAGGTCTCAACAGCAGTGCAGAAAATGAGATCTCCTCCCATGTTTAATAATACATTTCATTAACACCTCCCAGTATGAGTCTTTGATTGCTCATTCATGTTTAATTCTTCATTTTCTCTAATTCCTGTATCTTGTTCCTGGCATGCTCCAGACAGTCAGTTACACCTATTTTTGCATCTTGGTATTTGCTCCCTCTTTCATAAATGTGCCACACAGCACTTGGTTCTTTCTGTTTCACGCTGCTGATTTCTGGATCATTTTCTCCAGTTTCTCAAGATCATCACAAGTCTGATCCTGACCCTCCAAGTGCATCTTGCTTTATCTACATATTTTACGTGAGTTCTTTTATAAACCATATAGGTCATTAATTAAAAAACAGAACAGAACTGGGCCCAGGACATACACCACCAGGACTCCAGTGGAAATAACCTCCCAGTCTGACTGTGCACCATCACCACCCACATTACAGCAATATCATGTACCTTCTAAATGATGAACCTCAAGCTATGAACTGCACAACAATAAATTTGCCTGTGGTCTCCCGCACTCCTTTCTGGATCCAGATTAGAGTCCAGAGGGAGGAGGGCTGCCCACTGAATGGGCTATTTTGAGAACACTGTGGGCCACCTTTGCTGGGAGCACACTCAGTGCCTCTGATCATGGCAGTATATGATCCTGTCTGCACATATGCAATAAATCTCATTGCCCCAGGAAGCACCAGCTTTTCTATGCTTGCACAATACAGTTATGCATTAGAGGAAGGGCTGCAACAGATGGTCTCTCCCTTATACAGAAACAAGGTAAGTGTCTCACCCAGCCAGAAATACTGGGCACACTGATCTAGACCATATTTCTTTAGTCTGCTTCCGAGAGAATCATGTGGAACAGTTTCAAAAGCTTTCCTAAAGCAAAATATGTCCCATCTGCTGCCTCCTCTTCATCTACTAGACATTATTTTCTCAAAGAAGGAAATCAGAGTAAGACTGCACGATTAATTCTTGGTAAATCTATGCCTTTTTTTTTTTTCTTTCTTTTTTCCTTTTTATCTTCTATTTGCTTTAAATTGATCATTGGGGTTTTTTTCAGACTTATGGCTGGAACAGTGGCTTCTAATTCCCCAATTTCTGTTTTTCAAAAAAGTAAATTGTGTTTGCCTTTCTGTAATACTCAGTGATCTCACCTGCCTTCTGAGAGCTTCCAGGGTAGTCACTAATGCTTCAGTAATTGCTTCAGCTACTGTCTTCATTGCCCACCTGGCTCTCACAGCACATACCCAGAGCAGGCTGAGGCCAGAGCTTCTAATCTGGAGAACAAATAGAGAACAAACATAAGGCACAAAAACAGTGTAAAAGGACACAAGGGACCAGACCAAGCTCAGACTGCTTGCTCTCCTCTCACCTCTGAGGAGGGTCAGCCTCCTCTCACAGTGGATAGTTTAGCATAGCACAGCATACCATTAACATGACAGAAAGCTGCCTTCCAGCTGCAGAAAAGCAAGTTGACAACTCTAGGAAGGCTATATCTGAAAATACATTTTCAGTCAAGAACTTTTGGTCTGCTGTGCTGATGGGAATTTAAATACCAGGAGCATACCGGCAGCCACACATGTGATGACAGATTTGCTGACTTACAGGCAGAATATGAAGGAGTCTTTCAAGAGACACCTAGGTGGATGCTAGAAAGTGCTGGAGAGGAGCATGAGGTCTTATTGCATGTCACAGATTTTAAAGGGAAATTCAACTGAAGAATCCTGGAAGGCAAAGTCAGACTGCTGGTTAGAAGATTTAGCCCCGGGGTACTGTTGACAGTTTCTATGAAATCCTTCCAGTTATACACACAACTCTAATTAGGCAGAGGGGAAGAAGATGCTATCTGGAGGTGATGGTCTCCATCACAAGTCAAAAGTGAAATCAAGACTTTTCACAAGGAAAACATATCTGATGTGTTTAATTAAGTGGGAGCTGGGGGAAATCTGTCATGAGCTAAGGCAAACAGATTGCTAAGGGTTGGTAAAACAAAAACACTCTGTGTACCCAGCGAGTTCAGAGAAAAAGCTTAGAACAGCGATAGCAACATTTCAGAGGTGAAGACTTATTATATCAAAACGACATTGGACTAAGACGCTAAACAAAGATGTCCCTCAAATTAAGAGCTATAAATGCATGTATATAAAAGGGGGGGGGGTGTCAATTAAAAAAAACCCAGGTAATAAAATCACATCTTGCCATAGCAGAAAATAGTAAATCCCAGTAACAAACCCAACAGACCCTAACCAATAATATACAATAATATGCAGCCACAAATTACAGAAAAGATAGTTCAAGTTATAAAAGTGAATGATTTTTTTCATATCAAAGAAAATGTTCTAAGGAATCTAGTGAGACTCAAATTCTTATGGAAAAGACAACACACTGAACCTCTCTGGCAATAAGAATGTAAATATATGAGTAAAGTTACCCCATCAGTCACCAGAGAAAGACTGAGTGCTTCATGTTGAGAGGTGGAATACTAAACATGGGGACCTCTATTATTCATAAATAAATCGATATAATGGCACAAAGGAAAAAAAGAGTTAGAGAACCAATTTATAGGAGCTAGTGTGACTGCTTTTAGAAGTATTAGATCCTGAACATCAAAGAAGAGAGAGGCTGTTCCCTACTTAATATTATACAAGGTACAAGAGGAGTGAGTTCAAGAAGAGGCAGTCAGTGAACCGACAAGAGAATATGGGCTGCTCTTACAGAATAGAAAACTCTATCTTGGAGTGCAATGGTTATAACTTCAGAGGTCTTAATGGGCAAGGAATTCACCACAAATACTCAAGGTAAAAGTGTGATAAAAGGGGAGAAATAAGGAGTCCGTTCAACCTCTGGGTACAGCATCACTGAAACCACTACTGTATCTGATTCTGATGTTCACATTTAAAGCTGTTGAAAGATTAGATTGGGGGCAGAAAAGAGTCATAAAAAAGTATATGAGGAGAGAAGAACATGTAACTGGGAAACTTAAACAGCTCAATTGTGGGGCGATTCCATAAATGCTTTCACAAGGGGAAAATATCAACCAGCACTTTTTAATCTAGCAGAGACAGAAGAAAGACTAAGGGCTGAAAAATGAAAGCGATTCAAACCAGAAATGAAACACACATTTTTTAACAGCAGTGATGATTAAATTTGGGAACAAACTACCACCTGAAGTGATGGATTTTTCAACTCCTGACATCTGGAACATAGGTTTATGTGAAAAGTTCAAGTTTTCATAGATAAGAATTTTCCCTCCCCCCAAAAAAAAATTCTGTCAGAAAATTCTTAGCCACTATTTGGGTTTCTTGTCTATTTTAAAAGATGAGCCACAGAGAAATAAGCTTTGTACATCGAGAGTTGGTCAAAAAGATAATTAAAAGAATAATGGGATTCCTAGGTAAGGAATATGATATGGTGGGAGCTAATTATCACAGTGTCTGCAATGAAAGTTGTGCATCGGTAATGTTTCAGAATCATTTGAACATATCTTTATAATAATGATCAAAAGGGAACTGCTTGACATAATCTACTTGAACATTCAAAAGCCTTCTGACAGGCTTCTTCAGGCAGGGCCTATTCCTGCAGAATCCGGCACGGACAGGTATTATGGTTGCTACAGGAAGGCGAAGCACAGACCAACATGCAACACCACTAACAGCCACAAAACTGCCTAAAATCATAAACAGGTATTTACTACAAGCTTTGGCTTTCCTATGGAAGTGCAAAGTGGCATTATTCCAAGCATAATTTTTGTAATTGCAATCAAGGCACCAAGAACTCTTGCTTAAGTGCTTTTAATACACTACCGGAATGAAATATGACATGTAAGGCACTGACATCTTGTAGAGCATCATTAAACATACCACAACCATTAATAAATATGCCAAGGAAAGCCAGTACATCTGCACGTAATTCAAGCGGAGGAGTTGGATTCCACATTATTATTTTTGTTGAGTAAAACACTTGAGAAGACTCCAGTTTATCCTGAGTCAATAGAATGTGAAGCATCACTGAGGAAAAGAAAACATCCTCTTGGGATTTTTCATTGGACTGAGAATCGTGGCACTCTTCCGTAAATGTCAGGCTTATCAGTGTTGTGAGTAAGCATCAGTTAGCTCTCAAACAAGCTGACTCCCTGCATTTTTCTCAGAACTCTATGTAATATTCTCCTGGCAAGGAACAGCTCTTTTAGAAGACTGCAACACCAATTTGTAAAAGAAGCTTGCCTCAGCTCTGACTCAAAAACTGAAAGAGATCAGGAATAGATTAGATAGCTGTAGGAAGATCTGCTTTTTGACTACAAACCCTGGCTTATTTGGAGTTAAAGTGATACAGGAAATACACATTTCTCCTTTTCAGTTCAGAACAGATGCACTAATTGTAAGGAAACTTTCTTCTTCCTACTTGTTTATCTACTTCATATTACATTAGTAGCTTCAAGTATATTTTTGACCTGTGACTGGTTAATGACATCAATATTTGCAATACATTTACATCCCTTTCTAAAGATCCTTTCTTTATTTCCGCCATCCAGCTTTTCTTTTTATATTCCTAGATGAGACCCAGCAGCACCGTGATGAGATCTTCATTAGCATTCAAATAAAAATTTATTGTTTGCTTGTAGAGAGGGGAGATGAGTTCAACGTTCACTATTCAGTGTTCAGCAGTGCCATCAAAAGTGTTTACATTCATACCCATGTTTCATTTGCTTTTGACAGCACATAACGAAGCACACAAACTGCACTGGGTCAGATCAAAGGTTCCTCTACTGCAGCATCTGGTTTTCAATAGAGATGCCTGGGGAAGGAGTTTAAGAACATGCCAGGTATGCAGTGGTGCTTTCCTGGAATATTATTCTGGTTTCTAACAATATGTGTCTTGGGACGTTTTGAGTCACAATCATTGGTTTTACTATTTAACAGGTTATGTTTAACTTCTCTCCATTAACTTTTCTTGTTACCCCCAGAGAACAAGTAAACTTTGAACATCCATAATATCCTATAGCATGGGATTTTACAGTTCAATTACAAGTTTTGTGAAGAACCATCAACCAGATTAAACTGATTTCTAGTTGTTGCTGTGGAAGAGACACTTAAAGGGGCTTCTCAATTCAGAGAGAAGGCACCAAGGGGAATATGAGTGAGACTTATAAAATCATAGTCTCAGCAACAATAGATGGACAGTGCAGGCAGATGGTGCACTGGGCCGGCCCACTAGACTCTTTCTTATGTTGTTATGACTAGACCACCTTAGTTGCATCTTCAAGACTATTTCAAGAGCTCCATTAAGTTTGTGGAATGTGGTTTCTCACTAGAAAAACTTTCCCTGATATAGAATCACAGAATCTTTTATGCTGGTAAAGACCTCTAAGATAAAGTCCAACCATTAACCCAGCACTGCCAAGCCCACCACTAAACCATGCCACTAAGGGCCTCATCTACGTATCTTGTAAATACTTCCAGGGATGGTGACTCCACCACTGCCCTGGGCAGCCTGTTCCAATGCTCAACAACCCTTTTGGTGAAGACATTCTGCTAGAATCCAGGGTAAAATGTTGGGTTTTATCCGTTCCATCATTATTTTCTTACCATTTCTCCCCACTTCCTGAGTACAGACTGCAATGTGTCAGTCTGCAATTCTCCACTTCACTCCTGGGGACCTTCTGTGGGATTGTTGTCACATTTACCATCTTCCATCCCTCCTGCTGAGAGACTGATTTAAGTGACAGGTTACATACTATAGTCACTCTATAATTGCATATTTGTTTTCCTCCAGAGCTCTTGAGTGATTACCATATGGTCTTGGCAATTTCTGACTCTTCATCTTATCAATTAGTCCTAAAATGCATTTTATTGTCATTTAATTTGAGACAGTTCCCTACACTTGTCCCCATAAGTTTGACTCTCATGGGAGCATAACCTATCTCACCCACAGCGAGCACCAACACAAAGCTTCAGTTCACTTTCCAACAGCAACTTTCCTCTCTTACAATAATCCTTGCAGAGATTGGTCATCTGTTGATCAAACCTCCACAAAAAGTACCTAATCCTGGCAATTCTGAAAACATTTTTACTAGTATTTTTACTATTCCATTAGTGAGTTTGCACCTTAAAATCTTCCCTTATCTGCCCTACAGATTCAGCTTCACAGTTAATGCTTTTTTTTTCCTTTTTTTTTATTTAAATAGTTTCTTTATTTGCTCAGAAATCCCCAATTTCGAATACTCTCTTCCATTCTGCTGCTAGAATATTGTCTTTTGGTCCCTTGTAGAATTATTTCACTCGGTGATATATTGCTCTGAGCTTCAGATAGGGTGGTTTTATCCAGCTTCTCATCTTCTGCATCCTTATAGCGGCTGCTTTTAATTTCCTTTTAAGAAGCTCACGTACTTTTGAATAGGTCCCATTTTTAAGGTAGGTATTACTGTGAACAGCTGTGGGGGAAAATCAAATACTCCTAAGATACTCTGCCATGAATCTCTCTGAAAAAATATAGGTATTCACCAAGGTTTTTTCAAAGAAGAGAGGCTTTGGAAGAAAGAGTACATCTAACACCTTCAGCTGGAAGGGGAAGGATGGGGAGGCCGCTGCCACGGCACTGGATGCTGGGTGAGGTGGGCAGAGGAACCTCTAGCACCAAGCTTTCAAAAGGGTCTGTGAGGAGGCTGTAGCAGGGCCAGGTAAAAGAGAGGTAGGGAATGTGGAGCAGCAACTCCCAAAAGAGGACTCGCATTCAAAAGCAAGACTGTACCTGTGTCAGCAGAATGATGTGAACTCACTCGTTCAGGGATAGGAGCTGAAAGATCTTGTATTATTACAGGCTCTCTATGCTCACACAGGCAGTACAGATGGAGCAGAGCCGTCATACGCAGCCTTTCTTCAGCATGCCAGATCTTTCTGCTGCTAGGCAGGCTCTGGGGAGACCATGGGGAGCTTGGGGTGAAAGCCCATGTGCATTTCCCTACACACGGCTCCCACCTCTGCTGCAGTGCTTGGTATCCTTGTGGCTTACAGGAATTAATGACTCATGGATGATGGAAAAGCTGTGTTGCTTTTCTGGCTGGCTGGCATTCAGCTCACCTGGGAAAAAGGCACCTCACTCCCGAAAAAGAGGGGCCAGCTCCCATGGGATGCAGCGTGGGTCATGCACATCTCTGCCAGGGCAAGCATGCAGGCAGGACAGCTCTCTGGCTGCTATGTCACTGGCTGGTGTTGGACGTGACACAGGTTGGTCAACCTCATGGTATTTAGGATGTTGGTACGTGTTAGGACACTGGTTTGTTCGGGAAGCTTTTTGCACACAGATGCAGGTGTCCCAGCAGAGCAGCACCCTGTACATGGGGACAGGCTCCCTCCTCACATAGACAAGGTTTACAAAATGCAATATAAATGGAATCTAAAGCAGGCAGCTGGCAGAACCCAGGCAGGCCTGCAGATCCACGACTCACAGAAACAAATCTACCAGATGTTTCAGCCTCACAAGGGAGCCACACGCCTGTCCTACTGCAGGAATTGTGTTTTGCCTCCTGTTGTGTTGGCTTCCTGTAAGAAAGCTGGAGAATGGTGGTGGTTTGAGAGTTACCTTCCCTTCCAAAAAATTGGTGCTCCCATAAGTTTGTGTAGTTAGTGAATATCAACAAGAAATAAATCAGAGCTTGGAGAAATGCTGTTCTCAACTCTTCCTCCAGCGTGCCTTGTTTACACTGCTGAGCTGCAATCTGAAAAATGCCATCTATAATGAATACTAAATAGTGGGAGTCTTTTTCTCAGCAATGTGTTACTAAACCTGATTGCTGTGCAGTAGAATATGCTGGGAGAGAGTGGAGGCTTGGCTGTGTTTCTCTGTTTCATGCAGTCATAGAAACTGTCAAGCTTAGGTGCCTCTGTGATCTCCAAGCAGCATGTCTCCCTACACCCCTTCCTAGCTATCCATTTATTTTTAAAACGTTCCATTGTTACTGTAGCTCCGGCTTTTTCAGCCAATTTTAATGTCATTATTATTTCTGTCTCTTTAAAATGTAGCTACTTATGCAATTTTATTCTTCCCCCACAACAAATTCATAGTAATGTGTTAACAGCTGCCTTGTGGTGGAAGTCACCTAGAGTTAATACTCAGAGCTCCTCACTATTAAGAAATGACTCACTGGGTATTATAAAATCTGTACTGCACTGCCTGGCATGCCGTCTTCAGTACACACACATGTGCCTCTGCTTCATCACCAAGAACATTTCGTCCCCCGCCTGTGGAGGGTACATGCAAAACCAAACGATAACAGAAAGCAAGAATGCATCCACACACGAATGACTCCTAGAGTAGTTCTACAGCTCCTTAAGCGTAAAGGACCAGGAAGTAGAAGGGAACTTATATGGCAGAAAATGGTGAAAAAAAGGGATGAAAGAAGGAAGAGTCATACCAGGACCCCTTGCTCACACTTAATTCCTGCAGCCAGTATGGAATAATACATGTGCCTCTATTTAGGAGTTTGATGACATTTTTGAGCTCCCTTATTTGCCAGCAGTCCCATCTTCAAACAGTTCAAGGCACAACCATGGTGATAATTCTATATAACAAAATGCACAGTGGAAATGGTACTGACCCAAAGGCTTGTTGACACACAGCATAGGTAAGAGTGGTATATTTTCACCCATTAGAATACCGAATTGAAGCAAAAATTAGGACAGGGCTTTGAGCAGCCTGCTCTAGTGGAAGGTGTCTCTGCCCATGGCAGCGGGTTGGAAGTGGGTGAGCTTTAAGGTCCCTTCCAACACAAACCAGTCTGGGATTCTGTGAAATCAAGGTTTCTGAAAAACAGCAAATCATTCATACCAATGCAATGTATACTCCTTTTTTCTTGACTCACACACTGGAGTGTTTATATAAATATACATACACTTCCCATACACACAGTATCAAACACTCCAGCAGAAGGGCTACAAGACAAAGCCTAATACCTTGTTTTGGCAAGATCAACCTCAGAGTCACATGGGCACAGTGAACAGGAGATACTAAAACTTAGCATTCACGCACTTCTCATAGAGCTGTGCAAAGGTCATTCTGTTCTGTGGATAAGCCCGTGTCAACAGTGAGCATATATTAGAGTTCAGAAAACCCTTTGCTGAGGAGATCCAGGCATTCTGGGTTAAAAGGTTATGAAATTTAGTCTAATCTCTATTCCTATTTTCTTAAACATTCACTACCAATCTATTATGAAGTCAGTGCAACCCAAAATTGAGGTTTCCCCAACTTCTTTCATGTAACCCTGGCCACATTCCTACAAGACTGCTCAGACTTGTAGTTCAAACTGCTCAGAATTCTCTCAAGCTGGCCTGAAATCTGTTTTTTTAAATTCATCTGATTTGCATCCTAAGTTCTCAGACTGAAATAAAATCATTTATTTTTGTTAAAATATTCCTTCCACCACTCTGCTGAGAACCTTTTGTGTCTCTGTGCTTTATCGCAGGAAAGTCACATTTGATCCAGGGTTTCTCCTACTGAAAGGTTTGTTTCTGTTGCCTTCACAACTGTCCACAGAGTCCTTACACTTTCAAACAGCTGGAACCACCAGCAGTCATCTTCAAACCCAACAGAATAATGAAGATACCAAAAGATTTAACACCCAGGAAAACACCAGAAGAACACAAATGATTTCTAAGCACACAGAAACTACGGAAATGAGTACTTGTCAACATGAATCCCTCATGAACAAAACAAGCTGACTCAATCTAATTTCACTCTCCAATGGATGACACTTTGTGGATAAAGAAGCAGCAGCAGATACCACATACCTCAATGTCACTGAGGCCCACACGACATTGATGAGTGCAAGAATGCCCTGGCTGAAGTCATGACACAGATCGGGCTGGAATCCACACTCTGAGAGTAGTTTTCCAATGGTTCACTGTGAAATATAAAGGACAAATTGAATGGTTACTCAGCTGTTCATAAGTTCCATTCAATATTTTATTGATAGCCTGGATGAGGGAATGGTTTGTGTGTTTATTAAATCTGCCAAGCTTAAATCTGCAAAGAGTGGCTACAAATACATTTGGGATAGCAGTATTACAAATTTTTGACAACTTGGACAAGCTGTCTATAAATACAGGAATCATCTCAATTGTACAAAGCATAGTGTTTTAACTTAGGCAGGAGTAAAGCGCACAAATAGAGGACAGAAAGCAGAGCAGAAAGCACTCTGGGAAAAAAATAGATCTGAAGGTTCTGATAGATCACAAGCTGAACAGGGGTTATTGTCCTGAGCAAAGAGAAAACTACATAGATATATTAACAGAAGAATTACCTGTAAGACATCTTGCCTGTCCTTTTGCTGTACTCAGTAACGCCTCAGTGCAGAGCAACATCCGGTCTTTGGTACCGCTCCTCAAGAAAGGGTGACAGGCCAAGCAGCAAGAAAACCAGTAACAGTTAGAGGTCTGGAAAACATGTCCTGAATCAAGAGACTTAGGAGATGCTCAAAAGAGAAGACCACAGAGAGATGCAATAGCAGGCCTGACAGAGTCAGGTGCAGTAACAGTCTTGGAGCAGATAAAAGTCTGCAACAAAAATGGAAGAGAAAGAAGCCATGAATGTCATGAGCAAGATCTGATTCTGTTATGGAAGAAAGAAATGGAACAACTGATTACCTGAGGTTGCTATCAGGTTCACTCTGCAATGATTCTGTGCTGATTAGAGTTTGTCTGTACTCAATTTGTCCTGATGTACCCCAGTGACTTCATGCAGTAATTGCTCATGCACATTTACATCATTTTTGCATTAACATCATCATTAAGGTTAGAGTGTTTTACGTTCATCGCACCATCTTAAGACTATCTGTCTTGCAAATACCTTATCAAAATGCTATTTGCCAAACCAGCTTCACTCACAACTCATTAATCAAAAACCATTTTAATAATTAGTCCTCAAACAGTAATTCAGTAAAATCTTTGTATCTTGATTTTCTTTTCCAACCAGTGCAGTGGGCAAAAGGGTTTGTAATCATTTGGCACCACCACTCTCAGACTCAAGAGTCTAGATTAGAGCTGTTGGTGCCAGAGTCAACCATTCCACTGCCATAGAAACCACTACAGTTTTAGACAAAATTGTATATCTCTTGGACCTCTCCATTCCAGATGCATATAGAAGATGTCAGATCACTGCTGCTACTGTTAGCACTCACTCGAAGCCCTGGCACAAAAGCAGGACCAGAACTACTTACGTTTGTTCTGACATTGGAAGAGATGTACTTAAAACCTTCCCCAGATTATTCATTTCAGTGATTATCCATCATCTTGCTAACATCTCTGTTGGTACAGTTCAGCCTGTTATCTCCAGCCATCTCCCCAGCAGGCACTGAAAACAGTTTAAGATGCATTGGCCAGGCAGGGCAGCTGGCTAGCATGTCTGCTTAGTCACAACTACTTCTCAGGGTGCCAAGGGAAAGCAATGCTGCCTTTTCAAATAATTATAATCAATTACCAATATTGAGCAGAACCAGCTATAGCTGAGCTTCTGACAGGATCCATCAAATTAAATGGTTGTGCTTCCAGTATTGCTGGAGGGAGAACAAAGATCTTTGTGAATCTCTGCAGGTTTGGAGATTTATGAAAATATAGCTCAATTTCACTGGCATACGACCAGATAAATCAACATTATATAAAACCAGAAATAATACAAGCCACACACCTTGTTAGCTCTGTAGACCCCTACACCATTGTTAAACTCGGTTCTGTCAGAAAGTGGAAACCCAAAAGATTCCAGATTTATCACCTTAATCCATTACGTTTCTTCTCCAGAATTCACACCGCTGTCATTTTCTCTCCCATTCTGATTACCTTCTTTGTAACATATTGGCTTTCGTACTTTTACTGAATAATTCCTGGTCTATTATATCTATAATTATACTAATAATTAAGCATGCCTTTTCATCAGCTAGCAGCTAATTACTTCTGTTCCTACCCAGCTTGCTCAGAAAACACTCAATTCATCTGCATCCATATCACTCTCCCTGTTGCTAAGCAGTCAATGCTAGGCAGCAGTTGCACTGTAGCCAGCATCATTTGGTTCACTCTGGCTTTACAGGTACTTTCAGCTACCAAAGCAGGCTCTACTAACTGTGGTCTTAGTCCTTTTTTGGTCAGACCTTATCCAAGATTTTGTTACATGCAGACTGAAATAATGAAGTAGTCTAAGCTCTTGATTCTCTGGCATTATCACAGGAAGAGATACTTGCATCCACACACTGTCCTGCTGGATTTCTTGGTACACTGGATCGATCCTGCATCTGTTAATGTGGGAACTGGACACTATCACTGTGACTCTACTTTTGCACTCTGGTTCCGACCAGCACAGTGTAGATGGGCTCTGCCCAAACCATCCCACCTAGTTAGCATCAAACTGCAGTGGCACAGACCAGCCCAGGCTGCTTTATTTTCCAGTTACCCATCATTTTCTCTGTTGTAGGTTGGAGAAAGCAGCTGATGTTCCAGGGCAGAAAATCCCACCACCTCCAGCCCTGGCAAAGCCATTTCCTTCCCTGTTTCTCAGTTAATGAAATTAGTGACATTAACATCAGTGAAAAGTTAATGACAAATATCTCCAGGCTTCCTAGAGACTGGGCTAGGCTCAAACCCTTAATCCTTTTATCTGATTCATGACGACATATTCTGAAATGAAGAAATGTTGGCAAATGCAGTGGTTGTGCTTGATTCCAGAGAATGGGAATTCAAAAATGGGGAAATCTGTTAAAAAAAACCAAAACACTAAGAGTGGCAGCCAGAAAGGTAAAACGTTTTTAGATGGCAGGTAGACTGTTTTAGGATCCTATATTGGAGGCTCAAAGCAAATGCATATAACCTGTCAAAAAAGACTTGAGAGAAAAACAAAAAGCATAAAACAGCAGGATCAGGGAGGCTGCTGGAAGTTAAAACGTACACTGCAAAAAGCTGAAGTGGTGTCTGAAAAAGGAAAACTAAAAAGAACATAAATCCTGGCAGACTAAATGTAAAAGCACAATAACATAGACTGAAGAAAGAATTTAGAAGCTATTTGCTAAAGAAATAAAAAAAAAGGCAAGAAATCCTTCTTGGAACACATCAAGAGCATGAAGCTTGCAAGAGCCATGTATGAGAGAAGCACTCAGAAAAGATAATGCCATCGCAAAAGATTACAAACTCTTCTTTTTACATCTCTCTTCACCTGGAGAACCTCAGAGAAACTCTGAGGCCAGGACCCTGTTTATAAGACATTCACAACAGGCTTGTCTTAATTTAAGATTGTTAAGAGTAGATTACAACCAGACAAACTGAGTAACAACATATCAGTGCCTGAGATTCATGCACGATCTTTACGGAATGTTAAATATGAATCATCTGAGCTAATCCCCTTAGTATGTAACCTTTTGCTGAAAATTGCTGCGATTATCAAAGGGCTGGAAGGAAACTAATAACAAATCAGTTTTTAAAAAGAAATCCAGTGGTGATTCAAGAACCCACAGACCACTAAGTCTCATGTCCATATTGGTCATATTGGCTGAAGCTCTAGTAAAGAACAGAATGATTGAATACATGAATAAAAGTAACACATTAAGGAAAAGTAAATATGACTTTTGTGAAAGGAATCTGAGCCTCCTAAATCTGCTGGAATTCTCTGAAGGAGTCAAAAGCATGTAAATAACAGAGATCCAGCTGAGAAATTTCCCTTTGCATTTCCAGCTCACATCAAGCTTCCAGAAACTTCAGGCACTGAAGGTCTCATCAAAGGCTTTTAAATAAACTAAAAACCCAGGGACTACAGGTAAGACCCTCACAGAGTTAAATAATACTGAGGGGAAAAAATATTAGACTGTAGGATGAGTTTTCACATTAGAGGATGATCATCAGTGGAATCCCATGGGGATTAAGGTCCATGGTGTTCACTGTGTTCACAAATGACCCGGAAAGAAGGTGGAACAGTGAAGATTTCTGAGAAAACATCAATTAATTAGGATAGTATTTACTACCAAACCTTAAAGATCTCATGACATTGAGTAAGCCTCATGATAAAGTGGGAGATAAATTTCAGCCCTGACAGCTATAATCTACCTATCCACAAAAAGCAACACTCACTTTACACACAGAATGATGGGCTCTGAACTGGTTTGCACAATTTAGAAAATGCATCCTGACATTCTAATAGCTAGTTCTATGAATATATCACCTCGGTGCTCAACAGCAGGCAGGAAAAGAAAAGCAAAAGTTCAGAATTCTTAGGAGAGAAAAGTATGACTTTGCCACTCTATGAATTCATGGTGCGTCTGCTTCTCAAATACCAAATGTAGTTCTGGTGCCCTTACCTTATAAAGGAAAGGAACTGTAACAGGAGAGGAACTGCAACAGGGAGAAGAAAAAATACATGGCAGAATGACAAACGTGGTGAGTACAAAACTGCTGCCATGTGAAAAACAAAATTAGCTTGCAGAAGTTGAATAGGAAGCAATCACTTGCCATTTGTCTTTCCCAATTGTACTGAGCAGGCCAGGTGCCAGAAAGGGGAGACGGACATCATACAAGAGCTCTGTCGCGTGCCTTTTTGTTCAGCTGCTACAGCCTTCATATTCTGTCAGACAGGAATTTCAAGGGATGTGTGAGACTTACGACGACTACGTTTCATACACAACCCCCGGCATGTTCTCAGGAAAAGAAAAAATATAAGGGGAAAAAGCAAGAACAACAGACTGCCATACTTGCAGTACTTTTTGTGCCCATTACTTGTAAATCAGCATTTATTAGAGGTCTCTGCTTCCTTTCCAATCTGCCCTTCACACACTGCAATTTCAGAATTTAACTAAATGAAACCCCACTTAGGCAGCATTCACTAACATCTGACTACAGCAACCCAGCCATGTTGCTTTGCCAGCTTCCACACTGCTGCATTCAACACAGCTCCTGTCCACGTTCCTCTCATTTTTCAAACTCCTCTGAGCACTGTGGGTTCAGGTTGTTAACTCAGCTCCTTCAAGGCCAGCACTACTCTTCATTCAGCTGTGCAGCGGCCAGCACCAATTGGTCCCATACCTGATAACAGCCTTAAACTACTGGTGAGCTATTAATAATACACAAGCAATGATTTTAATTGCAACCGGGTGTCTAGAATTTAGGAGCTGTATGAAGAGTTCCTTCTATCTAAAATATTATTGTCCCATTGTGCATTTTGGAGTTTAGCTCTCATTAAAAGTAATAGAGGGAAATAGTCTGTAGCAAACTGAATGTGTTTGTTGTCACAGTTCACCTCCTGCTCCTCTACACTAAACCACACTCCCACTCAGTGACAAGACCACAGCTGTTGCCATCTTTTACTTACCTGCTGAGTGCAATATTTAGCTTGAGGGACACCGAAGTTTTCTGTTTGTTAGTTATCAGGTCAGTAACTCTCACCTTATCACTTCAGTTTCCATTCTGTTGATAAAACCTGTCAGCCTCCCTTGAGTGGTTCCTGGCCCTCAGAAGAAATCACATTAAATTGGCACAACCAAGTAAATCTGTAAGGGATGTGCTCCTGATTTACCAAAGGGAAGTGGGGAGGGCTTGAATTTCTCCCCCTCTTCCTTCTTGCCTGGCTCCAATGTCCGAGCGCTTCAGGCTGTGTTGAAAACCTCCCTACGGATTCAGCAGTTGGAGTCAGCTCAGGTCTTTGAATGTGGCCCAGAGGAGATGTCTGTGGAGCCAAAATTGATATGTTTAAGTGCAAGAGACAATAATCATTTCTTCAAGTAGAAGCTAAAAATACCCAGAAGAAAGTGGAATTCATAATGGAGATTTTAAAGATCTGTGACATACCAGAGTCTGCACAAGGGTTTTAATGAGAGAGAAGCCAATTTAATTGGTCAGTGTGAGCAGATGTTTTGCTGGGTAAGTGGGCTACTACATCTCCCATTCCCATTTAATGCCAGGAGCATCAGTTTAACATGGCTGCAACAAGCCCATGTCAGAGGAGTGCACTGTCAGAGTCAGGAAGAACCTTGATAATCAACGTCTCCATGTTGTCAGATCACAGAGCTGAGCCATGAGGAGAAAGCACTAAAAAGAGGAGGCAAAGGAACATTTCTAAAGGTAATTGCTTGAGTGACCATCTCTGATTGTCGACTGGCTCATTACTATGCTGGCCATGAAGCTAAAGCAGCCCATTACAGTTTTAAAGTCTGTTAATGCTGCATTAACAAGGAGTTGCTGAGTACCAGGGTTAAAATCTGCAGTCCTCCCCTGTGCAAACACTTCTGGAGTGCATGTCACCACTCATAGGAACCCCAGAAATAACTTCCACAGACCATTCAATTATAGGCAATCACCACTCAGTGCTCCCTCTACTTGTGGCATAGCTCATCAATCAGGTTTTCTGTCACCATGTCTCTTCTCATAGCAGTCACCAGAAGTCCCTAAGCTCCCTCCGAATTCATGTGACATTTACTGTCAGGGGCTGTCAACACCAAGAGATTCTCTCAGGGCCTTCATCACAAAGCAACAAGATATATCCCCAAAACACACTCCCAGTTCCAGATCTGGATTACAATGACTGACTGAGGGGCTTTGCAGCAGTCAGGGGAGAGTGAAAGGGCAGCTCGAGATACAGCTTATGCCCCAATACCTCTTTTTCTTACTTCCTTGTTAGAAAAATACAGCCCCATTAAGAGAGGGTTTAGGCCTACGATTGATTAAGACTTCCTCAAAAATGCCCCTTATGAACTTATTAAGAGAAATCACAAGATTGCTTACTTGGAAATTTAGCTTTCCCATCTTTAGCATAGATCCTGCATTTGTTGTCTGTTTCCCAATACAGTGACTTAGTGGAAAAAAATTATAAAACTTTATAAATTGCAGTTGGCAGTATTGACAAAGTGTGTATATGCACATTTGGGTTTGTATGAACGTATTAGAAGCAATCTAATAAAGTAAAACAAACACATTTTCTTCTGTCTGCGAGCTGTGAAACTCGATCATCTGTAATTACAAGTGTTTCAAGTCTACTTCATCAAAGTTGTACACTTGAGTTTTGTAGCCATAAATTTCTGGCTTTAGAAAAAACCTGCTGTGTGTCAAAGCTTTCAGGTTCCACCAAGTGACTTTGTTCAAGACACAGAAAATCACAGATGAAAACTGAAGTTACTAGAAGACCACTATGAGACAAGAGGCAACAGCTCCAGCACCCAGGGAACAAAGTTCCAGGGGCCTATGTGCCTCAAAGCAATAATCAAGAACTCGGAGATATGTTGATTTTGTCTGGATTTTCAGGGGGACTGACATCAATGGGTGTTTAAACCAGTGAATAAAAAGAGTGCCTTCTACTGCAAGGTTTTTCAAAGCTCTAGAAGGTTATATACATTCTGAAGTCACTTATGTTTTTTTATAACCTGCTTTCTACAACCAGTCTGATTTTCTCTTTCCACCAAAACAAATGTATTTCTTAAGGAACACAGTATTTATTCCCCTAAGGCACAAAGTATTTCTTTTCCTAAAAATATTGTGTGATAACAGTTTTCTCAGCCTCTTCTCGTCCATTCTGTGTGCCAGCCCACTGATCACCATCATCTGAGCCCAACAATCCAGGCAATTTTCCATCCAATTTATAGTCCATTTACCCAATCCATACCTCACCAGTTTAGTGAGGTGATACTATAGAAGACCATGTCAAAGGCCTTGCTAACAACAAGGTAAACACCACCCACTGCTCTCCCCTTGTTGTCCGAGCCAGTCTCATCACAGAAGGCAATCAGGCTGGTTAGGAATGATTGCCCTTGTCAAATCCACTCTGGCTCTTCCAATCGCCTTCTTGTCCTTCACACACTTAAAAGTTTCCAGGAGAAGGTGTGCCACCACCTCCCAGAGGCACAAGCTAAATAAGAGGGTTTCAGAGTTCTCCAATCCTTCTTCTTGCCCTTGAGTAATGAATGTGTGAGGTTTGACATTTTTTTGTCATCACCATCCTCTCCTGATTACTGCAACCTTCCAAAGTGGCCCTGCAATGACATCGGCCACTTCCTCAGCACACTTGGTGCACAGAGCAAAATCCCACCACCAACAGTCATGGATTTATAGAGCCATAGAAAGGTTTATGCTGGAAGGAACCTTAAAGCTCATCCAGTTCTAACTCCCTGCCACAGGGACACCTTCCACTAGAGCAGCTTGCTCCAAGCCCATCCAAAGGCCTTGAGCACTGCCAGGGATGGGGCAGCCACAGCTTCTCTGGGCACCCTGTGCCAGCGCCTCAGCACCCTCACAAGGAAGAATTTTTCTCCTCAGGGCTGTTCCCAATCCAGTCTCTGCCTGGTCAGAAAAGCTGTATCAAGGCCCTCTGCACCTGCAGTAACCCCTCATGGCTTATTGCCTCTTCCTTCTCAATGTCCTTTCCACCCTCTGACTGCAAGCTGCTAGGACACAAACTAGCCAAGCTGGAAAGCCAAAAGAAGCAGCCCTTGTGCAGAACTTACTGTCCTCCTGCCTGCATAGCTCAAGTCATTTCCCTCTGGGATATTTAATCCCTCAGTCACATTACTCCACAACAGCTTAGATCCACAACAAAGATCTCTCAACTTGTCTTGCTCTGGACAGTCCTCCTCGTGTCTCAGAAATCCCCTCCCATCTCATCTGCATTTGGTTCTTCTCCAAAGTAAAAGACACAAATGTGCAGTAACGTTTCAGCAGATGTTGCTCAGCTCCTGTTCATGATATGAATCAAACCGGATTAGCTCTGCTATTGAATTGCCAGTTGCAGAAAAGACAGAGTTTCACACACCAAACGGCTGGGGACCTGGAAGGAAATTAGGACTAAACAGCATTAAAAATACAGTGATTAGCTGAGAAGATCCTGGATGAACCAATACCAACAAATGCAGTGTTAGTTTTTGGAGCATTAATTACCGATATCAACTTGATGAGCAAGAAAATTAAAGCAAGATTATAGAGTGGAGATGCTGATATTTCTATTTTGCATGTCATTTTCATCCCCAAACAAACTGTAGTAGCTTAGCAAATACCAGCCTACTAACACGAGACAATTAGAGACACATTTACTAAAAGAGACAACTAAATGACTTTGTAATTAAGGTATTAAGCCAAATCTGGGGTGAAAAGGATAAAGGATTTGTGTCCCATATGACACTACAACAAAATAAAAGCTATGGAAAAACAGAAGAAATCTGGCAGTTTGAAGCAAGCGCTCAGCCTGATGAAAGAGAACGATTACAGATCTCCTGGAAAGCCACACTTGGAGCCAAACTTGCAGCCATTCAAGCATAAAACATGGATAATACTGAACTACAACTACGAGTTCCTAACAGGAATTACCAGCAAAGAGAACACCATATTCTGTGAAGAGAGATGAACTGCCAGACTGACCAAGAATTTCTGCACTGGTGGAACGAAGAAATGAACAAGAAATTCACATTGTTCAGCTGGAATGAGCAGAGGGCCGGCAATAGTCATACTTCTGAAGGAAAGCACCAGGGAAAGGAGAATAGGAAGTTTATCCTTTTCTCATGCTGGCATGGCATGCTCTCGGTTGGGAACTCTGCCATCTGTTGCAACGCCACTGAAACACACGGACATACAGCAGATATAAGCCAAGGGAGGCCTTTGGCAGCATGGGCAGTCACAAAGTAAGACCGACCACCACCAAGGGGTGGGGGCAAGTTCATGCACAGCCCAAACTGCAACTGCATCTTAATGCATATTTTGCACATTCCCGTTCTCAAATGCTCCCCACTTATACCCATTTCTCATATATGATTAATCACATCAGTGATTACAGGAAGATTAACTGAGCGAATTTCTGATAAAACCTAGAATTACTTTTTTGCAGTACACAGTTTCTTCTTGTCTAATTCATAGAATCCCAGAACCCCAGCCTGGTTTGTGTTGGAACGGGACCTTAAAGCTCACCCAGTTCCAACCCCTGCCATGGACAGGGACCCCTTCCACTGGAGCAGCTTGCTCCAAGCCCCTGTGTCCAACCTGGCCTTGAGCACTGCCAGGGATGGGGCAGCCACAGCTTCTCTGGGCACCCTGTGCCAGCGCCTCAGCACCCTCACAGGGAAGAGCTTCTGCCTAAGAGCTCAGCTCAGTCTCCCCTCTGGCAGGTTCAAGCCATTCCCCTTGGCCTGTCCCTACAGGCCCTTGTCCCAAGCCCCTCTCCAGGTTTCCCTTTAGGTCCCTCTTGCGCTGCTGCCCCAGAGCTGGATCAGGGCTGCACGGGGGGGGTCTCCCCAGAGCACAGCAGAGGGGCAGGATCCCCTCCCTGAGCTGCTGCTCACGCTCTGGGGGTGCAGCCCAGCACACGGGGGCTTCTGGGCTCAAGCGCACACTGAAGCCGGGTCATGGAGAGCTTCTCCTCACCCAACACCCCCAAGTCCTTCTCCTCATCCCATCACCCCAGTGTCCCCCGACCCCGCTGCTGGAAGCTGCTCTCGGTCAGGAAACTGCACCGTTTACCCGGTATTCCCCGGCTCAGGCACACAGCATTGTGTTGGCCCCGCGCCGTCAGCCCTCATCCCAGGGCTCCCCTCGGGGCTCCGCACCTGCAGCACAACCGGTAACCCCTTCACACAGGGCTGTCCCCGGGCCCTGCTCGGCCCCCTTCCATCCCGGCCCGCCCGGAGCACAGGGGCCGCCGCACCGTGCCCGCTCTCCGCCGGGCGCCGCTCTAGCTCGTCTCCATGATGCGGCGCCGCTCTATCCCCACCCGGCGGCCGGGCTCGGGCCGGCCGAAGCCGCTTCTCTGCTCTTTGCCCGTGTGGCCCGGCTCGGCCCCGCTGCCCGGTGTTCCGCCGCCCGGTGCCGGACCGCCGCTGCGCCGCCGGGACGAGCCGATACCCTCAGTAGCTGCGGCCTCTCTATGGCCCAAGCTGCTGTGGCTCGGCAACACGCCCTCTCTATGGTCCCGGGGGCGGGATGTGGCGGCTGCTGCTGGGCCGCGGCCTGAGCCGCTGCTGGCCGCCCCCCGCCCGCCCTGCCTGCGCCGCGCCCCCTCCCGACGGCCCCGGCCCGGGCACCGAGCGGTGAGTGCGGCCGCGCCGGGCTGCGCACTGCCCGCGGTGCGGGCCTGCAGGGAGAGCGGGGTGACCCCTGCGCCCAGCGCGCCGCGGGGCGGGGGTGCCGAGGGTGCCCGCGGCCTTCACCGTGTTTTGTTTCCTGGTTGTTGTAGGGCGCCCGGCTGTGAGGATGGACGGCCCCAGGATGGCCGGGAGCGAGGAGGAAGGCGGCAGACCCTGCCCGGCCTGGTGCCCCGCTACTCCGTGCTGGAGGCAGTCACCTGGGTGAGGAGCGGCGGGCCCGGGCTGTGTTGGGAGTGCTGGCACCACAGGACCTTGTGTTGTGAGAGGGGTGGGAGCAGCGGGCGCGCCGACCCAGAGCTGTGGACAAGCTGCCCATGGAAACGGGACAGAGGGAGGGAGCGGGGATGTTGTCCTTGACTTGTGTCTGCTTTTCCTCAGGGGGCACTGGGTGCGCTGCTCCTGCAGCTGCTCAGGCAGATCGCCTGGCTCAGGTCCCTGCCGGACGCCAGGAGAGAGCACAGGGCTCTGCGGCTCTCCTCGCTGACCTCGCAACAGACAGGTTCGCAGCGCTGGCGTGAGAAGGGGGTGTAGGAGGGCCCTGCTGCCGGGCAGGGTTCCTGCCTGGTCATACATTAGCAGGCTGGAAGAGAGCTGCGCTGAGAAGCTGAGAACCAGCTTTCAAGCTCTCGGGGGAAGGAATGAGGGCTGGTGTCTGTCAGGGGAATCTCGCTGTTTCTTAACAATTTGATTCAATCCCACTTTACATCCTGCATGCCGTTACCTTCATTTTCTCTTCTGAGTCTGCTTCGTGAAGTTCCCTCCTGCTTGGCTTTGTGGTCAGAGCAGAGAAGGATGCTAGGTAAATGATGCAGTGTTGTCTCCTAAAGCAGGCATTGCTTTTGTGTTCTTACAGTGGTGACTGAAGCCTCAACCAGCTGTTCCACTGAGCAGCTGGGGTCCTGCTTCCTGCAGAAGCCAAGTCCAGAGGTTATACCAGAGAATGTGTCCTCAGGCATCCCTTCAGGGCAAGGAGAGAGCCAGCCCTGGGCTGAAGTAGATATGTGCAATGTGCTGCGGGGCAGGATACTTGTGGTGAAAGGACTTCCGAGTTTTGAGATTTCCCAAGGCAGAGCTAGGAGCCAAAAAGTGTAGAGCCATTTCTTGACCCTTGAGGACACAGGTGAGAGTGGAAAGACAGATCTTCAGAGACATAAATCAGGAGTCCAGAGACGGGAGGAAAAATGTCTCCTGAAGGCAGGGAGGAGTGTGCTGTAACTGCAGGTGACATCAGCTTTACCAGTACTGCTCTGCCTTAGTGACCTGATTACAACATCCAGCTGCTGCTCTTTTATTGTGGACAGATGTTTGCAGCCACAAGGATTCAGGAGAATACGGCACCATTGATCTGGGAGACCTTGCACATGGTGTGAAACTAACGGAATTATTCTCTTCCTGGAAGATGATGATGTATTTCTGAGCACTTATACTGTAGATAACACACTGGAAGGAGGTATCAAAGACATTCTTCTTAAAATGAGTTTTATAAAAATAGAGAGTCTCAACCTGGGAAAGCAAGTCATACATATTAAATTTAAAGTCATATCAAGGAAAATCAGATGGGCTACTCTCTAAGTGAAGAAACACTAATAATGCCTTTAGGAAAACTGGTAGGAGCTGGAGCCCGTAGAAGGGGGGAACAACATATGATCGTGGTGTAAATGAGGCACATAAAAGAGCCAGCCCACAGACGCTGGCTACATAATGTAAGATGCTGCAGAAAAGGTCAGAGGGGTTCCCCATTCTAGGCTTTCTTCCAGATCTTTGGCTTTTTTCTGTGGTGGTTTAAGCTACTGCCCACTACTGCTTATCAAACCCATCGCCTGCCAGAGGTTGCCATTCCCATCAGTTGGCAAATGGAGCATTTTGTTTCCATGTTTCCTAATTAGCTCCAGGAAAACAGCCAGGTTAATTTACCTAAACTGCCAATTAGACTGTTTAACCCATCTGCTTTTGCCTGGAGCATATTAAGAAGCACTCAAACACACTGCCTCACTGGCAGATTACTGGACGTGGACTTCTGGGAGAAGTGGTGGGAATAAGTGGAGACAGTGATGCCTTCAGTTGGCACAGCTGAACGTTCAGGAGTGAACGTGTGTGTCTGTGTCTGACAAACAGTTTCCTACTGAGAGTCAATAGGAAGAGCTTTTAGGCAAACTGATAAATTGAACAGTGACAAGTCACTAAGGCCATGTGCTCTTTGTTCAGATGTTCTTCAGAAGCAATGAAATCATTGAGCCTCTAATGATGATATGTAATCCAGTGCTTAAATCTGTTGTACACCCAGAAGAATGAACACTGACAAATTGGACACTGGCTTTTAAAAAGGGGGGGTTGTTTGAGGCACAGAACGGCAAAAAAGGTAATTCTAAGTTGATAGAAACTGTGTTGTAGAATAGAAATGTCAGATACCTGGATGAGCATGCTATATCAAAGAATCAAAGGTCTTGGAAGGATTTAGGAAGCCATTTCTCAGGCCATCTTGCTCCATTGCAGAGACTTAAGAGAGCTGTAAATCGATTATGAGTTCTTTGGAGAAGTCAAGAGGAATGTGGAGCAAGATTATCCAGCTTTTAGCTTTCTGAAAATCTTTCAGCCAGGAGCTAAAATCAAGCTACCTGGAGAAATAAAGCTGATGAGAGGGAAGACAGAGGGGCTACTCTTGGGCTAGTAAGTACAAGAAATAGTTCTCACAATAGGGAACCATAACTGGAGCAGAACTGGTTAAACCTGTTCAGCAGTCAGCAGTGATTTGGAAAAAAAGAGGTGGTGAGTGAGGAGACAGAAGGAGCAAATGGTACAAAATTATTCAGGACAGTCAAATCTGAAAGGCAGAGCAAAAAATTGCACGAGAACTAAACCCAGGCTAATCCCAAGGTAGGTTAAATTAGGATACGCAGGGGAGTGTAGCTCTAAATACACATACAGAATGAGGAGTGTCAAGTTAATAATTATATTGCAGAGGGAACATTTAAAGACACCATGGATACGTTTTTGATAAGGTTAAGTCAATGCTGAGCAGCAGTGAGGCCAATTAAATGTTAATTATTGTAAAGGAAGGAACTGAGGAAAGACAGTATTGTAGGTTTTGAGTGAGTCTGTGATGCAGCCACATCTTGAATGCTTAAGGAAAAGACAGAGTCTTAAAAACAGTAGCAATGATGGCATAGAAAATGATGACAAGGAGACAATGACATACAAATAGAGTCAGACTCTTCTTAAAAAAGAAGTGGCAGAGGGTGTGCTAGTGCTCTGTGAAACTAGAAGTGTTGTGGGAAGGTGAAATGGGACAATAATTTCCATATTACACATATTAATAGGTAGCACAGAAAGAGTCAGGTAGCAAGTCTGAAAAGAGGCGAAAGATGGCACATGTTTGGTCAGTACACAGGTAAATTGTGGAACTCATTGTTCCAGGCCAGAAGTATCAATGGGTTCCAAGAAATGATTAGGTAAAATTACAGATTCCAATTCAGTTTAATTGGTCCAGCCAAAACCTCCTGCTCAGAGGACTGCAGAACAGCTGATTGCTGGAAAGTTCTGCCAGGAAGAGCGTGACTTTATAATCCCTGTTCCTTACCCTTTCTGCCCAAGCATCTACAGCTGTCAGTTGTCAGAGATAATATATGTCAGAAATAATTTGATTTTGCTCAATACATAAGTCCTTATGTTACATTCTCACATTATTCTGTGCATCCATTTGGTGGGAATTTATTGAGGAAAGTCAGGGTGAAAAGATTCAGTAATGGTCACTGAAGAGCCTCAAAAAAAAACATGGCTGTGTAATGTGGGAAGTGCTGGGAATCTTCCCGTGGAAGGTTTTAAAGGGAAGGTTTAAAGTGAAGTCCTTTCTCTCACAGCGTTTTGCTTGCTACAGAAAAAGCTGCCTAAGGTTTAAGATTTCCTTTTGCTGGTGTTTAGCAACCAAAAGAGAACAAGGCTGGCTAAATCAGAATGCAGCAAGAAGCTGGGGTGAGCAGAAGGGAGGGAAGGACAGACACCTGGCAGATGATGCAGGGGAATCTGATAGCAAAGTCTTGCCATTAAAGAGCAGCCCTCCAGAACTGGGAATGGAGCAGAACGTACCTTCACTTCTCCAGTTTGCTGTTGCCAGCAATAGCAAAAGGACCTTCTGGAGAGAATTCCATGTCCTCACCCTTTCTTTCAGTGTTTCAGTTAATTTCCAAGCTTGCTTGTGCTGGTCTACATATACAGTGACAATCTGCAGTTGCTGTCAGCTACTTCATTACCTCAAGTGGCAAAGATCTTTGTGATGGATCCAAACATCCCAGCATTGCAGATGAGCTGTTCCAGTTTTAACACAATATGATAGAATCTATTACTTTTAGTGTGAAAAAAAGAGCAAACTTTGGGAAATTCATTTAAAACTTGCTTTAAATAGCATCCTGGATATGACTATCAGCAAGTCCTTGTCTGCATGAGCATATCCTATTTTTTCATGCAATTCCTGCCTCTCTCAAAGCTTTTTTGCCAGAAGTTAAAGGCACGTAGTGAGCAAACAGGTGATTACAGCCAGTTTCGGTGTTACAGCAGCTGAATGCTACCCTGGGGAGTTGTATTTTACCCCTGGCAGAACTGTAAAATTCATTATTTCAATTCTGAGATTACAGACATTGCACAAGTGTGTTTTCATTTCAAAGCACAATGAAAACCAGTTGGAAACACTAAAATTTTCCGTGAGGCAGAAATCCTGGATTTGGTCCAGCTCTTGTTGCAAATTCCTGCTTGTGAAGTGTTCGGATGTTTTGGGATGAGCAATCTAGACTGGCTATGAGAAGATTATTAATTCCTCATTTGGAGCTAGCTTTGAGCAACATTTGATTAGTCCAGGAGGAACAGTGGGGAAATAGAAAATATTTATTAGCTGCTGAATATGCACTCATTGGGCATCCAGTACACTGAAAGCTGAAAGATTGCATGGAAAAAAGGATGTGTAGTCATGTGAGATCCTAGCGTGTGTTTGAAGAAGTAGAAATAAAGTTGCACTGAAAATTCCAACTGTGGTATTCCCAGTTCTTGTGTGCTTTGAACATACAGTATTAAGGATAATTGAACATGGTTCTGTGGGTGCAGTATAGCAATGAATTTGTTCGAGGACTGGTTCCTATGAAGTTGTGTTGAAGCTTGAGCATTCTTAGAGAAATAAGAAATAAACAGTTGGGCGAACTGGTATTAACTAGCGTTAGGTTGAAGATTAATTCATTTTCACCAGTACGAGGGTGCTGAGGTGCTGGCACAGGGTGCCCAGAGAAGCTGTGGCTGCCCCATCCCTGGCAGTGTTCAAGGCCAGGTTGGACACAGGGGCTTGGAAGAAGCTGCTCTAGTGGAAGGTGTCCCTGCCTGTGGCAGGGGTTGGAGCTGGAGGAGCTTTAAGGTTCCTTCCAACCCAAACTAGCCTGGGATTCAGTGATTCTGTAGTCTAAGCTAGTCACACTCTGCTAAAGTGTGATGAGATTCTTTGTTGTTGAGGGGGTGCTGTTATTTCTCCTTTCTACTGAAGGAACCTAAGCACTGTGTTTAGATCATGTCTGGTATTGAGGCAGCTGCTCTGAAACAAGCAAGTGTTAACACATCACAGTATCCATGAAGAGGTTTGATTCGTGGCTTGCTCAAAACCACCATTCGTGATTTGATTCTTCTGAGAGAATTCACTAATCTGCTCCTCCAGGAGATGGAACTGGGTGCCAGGATCAGTTGGTCCCTGTGTTTTCTTTTAAATGACTTTATGCTCTTTGGGATTGGTAACTCATAATGTGGGGAGATTACTGGGATTAGGGTTAGGAGAAGGTTCCACTGGTAGAGGGAGATGAGACAGTTCCACAGGCTGATGGAATTTAGAATGAGTTTCTGTTTATTGTTCATGGGGTTTGTCCAAATTACACCATGTTTTCTCAGTAACTGAGGAGTCTCTGATTTAGAAGGAGGTGTCTGTGCCAAAAGTAAAGTTTCTTGAAAGCATGAATGTACTAATGTTGAAACAAATTCGTTGAATTTGCTGTTGTACCTATAGCAAAAGAACACAAATTACATCATGAGGGAGATAACTGAGCAAGATAGAGTCTTCAGTGAGACAGAGCAGATAATTGTATGCCTAGTCTGAAAATAAATGTAAAGCATAACTAATAAATTCACAGATTACATTACTTTTGGTAGAATTATGACTAGAAATCATGCTTGCCATAGCGACCATGCTTGTTGGGCAAGTGGGGCTTGTTCAGATAACATACATTTTAATACAGCCAAAGGGGAATTGTTTATCTGGGAATAGTGAAACTGCAGCTGGAACACAGCACAGCTTCATGTGCATTGTAAGAAGGTGCAGGCACTGCAAGAAGCAACCCTGCCTGTTGCACAATTGTCTGTGCCAGCACCAGTGCTTGTGTAGCCATTTAGTGCCAGGAATCAAGGGATCAGGCCCCTGAAAGGACTGATAATGGTTGTTTACTGGTATTAGCTCCCTGCTCTACAGCCACACAGCTTGGGAGGGAAACATGGGGAGAGCATAGCTACTTCCTGTGTTAGCAGCACTGGCTTGAAGTGATCCAGGCTTCAGCACCTGGTGTTAGGTGCCTGGTGGGATCCAGCTCCTTATGGTGATTCAGGTTAAAAATAATTGGCCTCAGTCAGCCCTCCCCTGTTTGTCCTCTTTGCTGGAGGTCACCATCCTCTTAGAGTCACTGGTGTAAATGCCTGTGTAATCACTTCCAGCCTGATTCTGTTAAGAGCAAGGTGGCTTAGCTCTTCCTGGAGATGTTTTCATTAGATAATTCTGTCTGAAACTGGTCAGATAGTGACTGAACACATGGTTGTGCTTCCGTATCTGAGGGCAGCAATGAGCAAGTGGGGAACATTGGAGTGATAACCCAAGCCTACATCCGGTGCAGCCAGAATCTGATTATCTCCTTGCACAAGCAGAACTGTACCTGGAAATAAATTACCTGGAAGAGGAGCTAGGGAGGCAAAGCACCTATGGGTACGATGCCCTGAGCAATAGGAATTGGAGCACAGTTCTGATAGATGCAAACTAGGCAGGTATGAAGGTGAATAAGGAGGCAATTTTACCTTTCCTGTGACACTGGGGAGAGGGTTCACACTTCAGTAACAATGTCAAAAATTCCAGGAATAGTGGCAGAAAGTCGTAAAATTCATCAACTTGGGCAGAAGGGTACTTCAGTTGAAGGGCATGGACAGGGCAGGGTCTGTTTAGAATCCCAGAAAGAATCAAGAGGGATTGATTAGTCATATGAGGGCTTTCGAAAGGAGGATGGTCTTTTTAGTACAGGCAAAAAAAGCCTAGAAAAGCCAATGCCTGGTAGCAGAAACCAGTTGTATTTTAATTTGAAATGAAGCACAGAGCTTTAAGCAGCAATTGCAAGTTCCTGGAATAATCTTTGAGGGGAAGCAGGAGATTTTCTACCTTTTGGTGGCTTCAAATCAAGAATGGGGCTTTTCTGGAGGAGGTGTATTATTGCTGCAGGCTATAGGAGTGTAATCATGCAGCACTTGGTTGCTTTGGTACAAAGGTCAAATTCGTTGGTGTTCCTTCTGTTCTTAGTGCCCGTGACTGAGTGGGTGATCAGTCCTCTAGGAAAGAGCTATGGGATAGAGGGGATGGGAAGAGGAGAAGAGGCAAAGGTACAGCATTGCTTAACCCTGCTTTTTGTTGTTGTTGTTCTTTTTGCTTGTTTTTTAATGCAGGAGAGTTCCACATCCCTGAGAGCTCCACTCTGGGGCCAGTTCTCCACCGTGCAAAGGTATACTTCGATTTTTCACATACTCTCTCTGTACCTGAGACCCCTTCCCTACAGGAAGCCGTCTCATTGTGACCCCCAGCACAGCCAGAGCAATCCACTCACTGTTTTCTTCCCTGTGCAGCTGGAGGCCAGAAGGGGGGATGTGACATGCTGCCCTCTGCTTTAGCCAGAGCAAAGTTCCAGGAGCTACAAACTGGCATCCCCATCCTTTTAAGTTGTCTGTGTAACAGGGCTGCTAGTAGAGAAGAGCTGAAACAAAATGGAAAACCCCTTTCCAACAGCACCAGTCTGTTCCTGTGTATTTGCATTTTGATGCATTCTTTCAGTAGGTGATTACATTGTGGTTGCTATTTTGGTTTTTACCAGACAACCCATGACTGGAGAAGGTAATGTCACTCTGCCTAAAGCTGCAAATCAGGACTGGCTGTTGTCTGTTATAGAGAGGAAAACACTTTGGGCTTGAAGAGGGTGCATCAGCTTGAGAGTCACAAGGCCATAAATTATGTTATTGTTCCTGCTGTGATTAAACCTGCTAATTCCTTGCAATTCACAGTCTTGGGTACAATCCTTATTTTACAAATCAGTCAGCTGAGCTATTGCTCAAGGACACAGTGAACAGAGCAGGGAGCAAATTCGGTGTTTCACAGAGTAGGTTGCTCACTTAGATGTGCAATGACTCTGCTCCCACCCCAGAAAGGCATTTGCTTGATCTGCTGAGGGGGTGACCATCGAGCTGCCCATCCTGGGGCATGCCACTTCTGCAGGGCCTTAGGAGCAGTCTGTAGCTCATTCGTAGGTCGTGGGGCAGGTCTTGAGAGAGGAGGGGAGTTGGTCCATGTCCTGGCCTCTTGTGAGCAACTCTGAGTGCTGGCTGAGCAGTAAAGCTGTTGGGTGACAAGGGGCATTTCTGCTGCATGACTTCCCGAGCGTGGAGGCACCTCAGCTCGTGTGCAGTGTGCGCTGCTGCCGCTCGATGGCACTACCTTTGTACGCAAGCGGGGAAGCTACAGCCAGGCTAATCCTCCTCCCACCTCCCGGAGCTGTGCTGAGGTAGAAAATACTGTTACTGAGAAAGAAAAGACGTTGTCTCTGCTGTGCAGGGTTTCATTAGGCGTGTGCAGTGGTTGGTAAGTTGACAGTGTGGGCTCAGCTTGAATTGTTTAAAGCCTATACAGATACATCAGTGCCTGTTTGTGCTGTTGACGTGATATGGAAGAGCAAACAAGGGTTAGCATTACTTTTGAAGGGGGGAGTTAGGAGTGATATCAGGTATTTGCTGAATTCTGACAGGTCTGATGATGTCTGAGAGGCTAAGCCAAGCTCCCTGGCCAGAGGGGAGGTAAGCAGTGTCCATACAGCTCCCCTAACTAGATGGCTGTGTAGGACACGGAGGGGTTTCTTGTGGACACATGACAGCAGATTACATCACCCTCTTGATAACTATAATACAGTACCAATGTGTCTGACTGCTTGTTTCTAAGAAAGAATCTCCTACAGGGTTTGTATGGTTTTGCTGTCTTAACAGCTTGCTGCTTTAACTCCTCAGGGTGACCCAGCCCAGCGAGGGCATTTGGAGGAAGCTGCTTTCCAGTTGCAGCAGGTTTTCCGGATTGACATTTCCATTGCATTGAATATCCTCGGTAATGTGCACTTGGATTTGTTGTGTCCTTAAACCACACGTTTCTCTTTTTGGAGGACCTCCAGATCATTGCAGGTCTTCTGTGAAGGCAGAGATGGCTTATACCCAAGCTGAAGCCTCCTTTCAGCAAACTCAACTGTGCTTTGGGAGATTTATTGCCCTTTGTCCCATCCTACCACCTGATTTATGTCAGCATATTTAAATCCAGGCTTGGTTGAAGCCTGCACTGTTGTCCTGACATCTGTAGTTGGAAATTAAGCCATCTCTGTCTTTTTTGCAACACGAGATGTCATCTCCTTTTATCCTTTTTTATTGTCTGAGATCTCAGGCTCCCTGGCAAGCTGAAAAAGCAATTGCAGAATTGCAACTCTTAAGAAGAGACGAAGGAAGATGCAGTGACCTAAGAAAAAAGCTCTGCCCTATATACACACCACTAGCAGCAGCCGTGAAAAGTGAGCTGCTTCTGTGCAAAGCATACATTGTGTTAGCCCATTATCCTCCGTTGCAGTGAGCCTAGACAAATTCCTGAAAGGCAATGCTGCCATTTTTCTTATGGAAACTTTGGTTCTGGGGCATGAGGGTGGCTGAGCCAGCTGGACATGGCAAGGAGCACGTGGCAGGGGCAAAGGAAGACCAAGTAGCTGTGGGGAAGGTTGCTGCATGTGAGGCTACATTTTGTCCATGCTCTTTTCCCCTGTTTTCACATGGTGCTCTTCTCAGGGATTGAAAGCATGAGAGCTGGCCATTCCAGGATAGCCTATACCTGCTTCAAACTGGCAGCAGATCGAGGCTACAGCAAAGCCCAGTTCAATGTGGGTCTGTGTTACGAGCATGGCAGAGGCACGGAAAAGGACTTGGAAAAGGTATCCACGGCTTGTAGGGTTGTGTATGTGTGGCACAGAGGAGGAGGGTGGTCTCTGTGGGGTACACAGGTACTTTTCTCCTTTTGCATGGGTTTGACAGGCTCTGAAGTCCATTAGAAAATGCTGGAAATAATAGAGAGTGCTGGTTTGCAGTGCTGGCTTCAGCATCACAGATCCCATCAGTGCTGCTGAAGTCTCCTTTCTCGTAGCTGCTGAGGTCTTCTCATAGGTACTCAGCCTATGCCACTAACACCCAGAAGAGCACCAAGGAGAAACCTGTCATGTTGCTGTATTTAAAACACCACTCCACATCTGAGGGATTTTTACATCTTGAGCCTTCGTGTTTGCGTACCTTAACTACATCCTGCCACCTAGTGCATGCTGGTTGTACTCAGCATCTTCTGTAGCTGGAAAGATCTGCAAAAGAGGCTTGTTTCGAGTGATTGTGTAGATCCCCCTTAGCACACAGTAAGCTTGAGTATTGTTGACCCAGTGCCAGCCTCTTCAACACGGGGAGTTTTGACTAGAGAAGGCAGTGTGGTTAGAGGGCTCTCAGATAGTTGCAGTTCACTGTCTCACTTGAACAATCTTACACTCTTCATCAGGGGAGTGTGGGAGAGCTGCTGGGGTAAGTGTGTCCAGCTGGTGATAGATCTAGACAGAGAGGGTAAGCTTGTCCTGGCCAGAGGGGAGACATGTCATGTTTGAGGGCATATATTACCTGATAAACACACAAGTGTGTTTATCTTTTTCCAGGCAGCTTTATATTACTACCACGCAGCCAGCAGCCGTCACCCCATGGCACAGTACCGCTACGCAAGATACCTCTTATGCCACAGACCTGAAAATGAGTGGGACAGGCATCAGAAGGCAGTGACTTTCCTGGAGCAAGCAGCAATGGCTGGCATTACAGAGGTTAGTGTCTATAGTATGGGAGTTCATAGGAGAGAGCCAGCAGAGATCCCTGTTTAAAGGATTTAAACCTAGACATCCTAGAAAGCAGCATTGTGGGAGTGGAAGCAAAATCCTTCTAATATATTTACACTTATAATAGAGCATGGGAGACAGCCCTGCCTACACATGGGGGGCAGCTAGGTGCCCACTGTGTCAGCTGTGTTGGTTGTCTGCTTTGCTGTTGAGCTTTTTAATGGGGCTCTTAGATCAGACACCTACATCATACGACTGCCTTAGGAAGACTGACCTACAGTTGCAAATGTAGCTCTGTGTTTCACCTCCTCTCAATTCCAAGAATACAGGTTGCTTGGGTGGAGGAACTTCCATGAGATGCTTTAAATAAGAACAGATCCTCATTTTGTATCTGTGACTTGTCAGGATGATTCATCTGCATGGATATGCCTGCCCTCCTTTCCCACTCTTTAGGAGATGCATTTAGGCATGTGCCATCTTGTGTGGCGAACGCCAGTCGTTCTGGCAGTGACTGTACCTCATGTAGCACACTGTTCCAGGAAGTGCATCTGCTGTCTCTTAGGGACAGCTCACGAGTAGGAGCTGTTCTTTGGCTCTGACTTCCACAGTACAGTTTGAAACTAGATTCTGGGTCTTAAGGTGTTACTGTGGTGATGTTAACTGCACCTGTAGTGCTGTTCTGTAGATCCAATGTGATTTTTGTGTGTTGACCATGTCAGACTGATTCTTTCTAGGACAGCCCCCTTTTCTCTCCCCAGGCTCTGCAGCAAGCAGAGTACTTGGCACCCTCATCTTGCCACAGTAACCCAGCATTTGAGCAACTTGCAAAATCAGTAAAAGAAAATGAAGGGGGAAATCCTGGCTGATTTTTACCACGTGGCTTTGTTGCAGGCACAGGCTTATCTTGGAGTATTCTACATGAGGGGGCTGCAACCTAAGGAAAAGAGAGGTCTAAAGTACCTGCTGCTGGCGGCGAACAACGGTGTAAGTAATCCCTCTACAAGCTATGATTGTTCTCAGTTTAGGATCACTGCTGCTTACAGATGGCAGATTTGAGGGCTTCTTGGAAATGGGAGCAAGTGTCAAGATCTTACTACGCAGTCTGAAAAGACAGTGTGGAGCCTTGGTGCATCTTGGAGAGGAAGGAAGGAGGCCCTGGGGCACAGACCCTACAAAACATGAATATAGGAGCAGTCTTACTGGGTTGAAGTAGTTCTTACAGCACCAGTGCTTGTATTCATCCAGCATAATTTTAGAGGTTTCCCGTTATGGAGCAGCTACACCCTCTTCAGTCAAATTCTTGCACTACTGTATCATTTTGAGAACTTTGCTGTGTCTATCTCAAATCTGTTTTCAAAATTGGCCCATTATGTCTTGCCTTCTGCAGAGAGGATGTAAAGACTATTGCTGTTTCTTTGCAGGAACCTTTAACATACTTGAGTCTCCATTCAGCCTTCCCTCATTGCTGCAGTTTCTCTTCACGCCTCGTGTTGTCGAGAACCCAGATCATTTTCTTGCATGCGCTTTCCCCTGGTGGCTTATTTTCTTGATGGGCAGTGGCACGGTCTTGGCATAATCCTACTTCTGAACCAGCAGAATGACAGCCCAGGTCTTGCAGCCAGGTTTCTGCATCCCATAGTTCTGTTTCTTTACAGCACTGCAACATCGTTCACTCATTTTCAGCTTGCACTGCATTGTAATAGCTAGGTTTTTCTGAAGAATTGGTCATTTTAACTTCAGTTCCCACAGCTTTTGTGCAATGGAAAATAATGAATAGCTGTTCTTTCTTCTGGCTAATACCTGTGGTTCTGTCGCCCTTTAGGATGTTTTCTCGAAGTCATTTCTTTTGCAGGCTGCACAGTGCTAGTTTAGTTTGTCTCTCCGTGTAGTTAAGCTGTTTCATCGGGCCTGTCAGTCTTTCTATTTTTTCTTTGGTCTTCTTTGACCATTTTAAGATGCTTGGACTAAAGCTGGACTCAGAATGGAGGTATGCCAGGAATCTGACATAATGAGATCCTCTGCTTTATTCTGCATAGCCTTCTGGTGATTCCTAATATTACTGGCCCTTTTGCCTGCCACTGAGCAGTGTTTGGTGGTTTCAGGGAACTGTCACAGTGACTCACAAATTTCTTTCTATAAGCACCACTTGGCATTTGTCAACAGTAAGTTTTCCTCTGCGATTGTGTTGTCCACTCTTAAGTCTTGTGAGATCTTCTCTGATTAATTCTTGGCAGTAAGTTTGAGCACTCTGAGTGACATTACATCACTTGCAAACTTTGCCACATCAGTTTTCACCCACTTTTCAGAATGCACTAGGCCTGACAGCCACAGCAGCTCAGATACCATGATAACAAGATTTAATTCCAAGTCTGCTAAAGATCTTGTAATCTGCATCATTGACTCCTTTCTTCCAGCCTGACCTCAGATGTGGATGCTGCTCAATATAACAATAAGTGGCCTTGTAAGAAAACAGAAATCTAGCAGGTAATTGCAGGTCCCAGGGGTACCCCTCAGTAGGTCAGTGTTTTGGTCACAGCCATGATGGTTCTCAGAACCCAGTCATCTTTCCCTGTCTCTGCTTCCCAATGGATGCTGGCTGCAGATGTACCACAGCCTCATCTTTGGTGACAGGCTTGTGCATCAGCCCCCCACATGTTCTGCTGGGAGCATTGTCCATGGGTACGTTCTTTTCCTGTTACCCTGGAGTAGGAGTTTATGTTTAGTTGGGTAAAAGAACACTGGATATGGGTGAAGCAAGGACAGCACCATTCAGCTATGACTCCAGAAAGGGGAAACAAGCACAAGAAGTCGTGGGTTCAGTGTTTCTCTTTCAGGTTGTTGTTCTCAGAGCTGAGAGCTCTGACAAGTGTTCTTCCAAACACAACAGCGCTTCAGACAGCCGCGTTCTACTTTGCTTACCACTTTTTATCCTCCCTTATTCTACGTGTGCAACCATAGAATATAGAAAAACATACTGAAAAGGGTTGTAGAACTGAGTCTGACCTTCAGATGTCAAAGGATATCACAATCACTCATGCCATGCTAATTTGGGGATCTCTTCTCCTTGTGGTCTCTTCTTAGAGGTGTTCGTCATCCGAGAGACGGCTACTGGAATGCTTCTTATTTCACCCTGTCTCTTGTCACATCTGAAGTGCCAATCCTTCAACGTGTTTATCTCATCTCTGGAGAAGTTTATGGCTGTCATAAGCTGAGACTTGCAACATTTTGCAAAGCACCCACTCACTGAGTTCTCTGCTTGCCTCTACGAGCTCCATCTCAGACAGCAACACTTGCAATATGTTCATTTCTCATGGCTTTATTAAAACTTGCTACTTGCTTTTTTTCCTTCTTTATTTGCAAAGCCTTGCTTAGATCATGTTTCTGGCAGTCACACACTTCAAGTTCTGTTGCTGGCTTTTTGCTGGAAAAGGTCTGTGTGACCATTAGCCCATGCTGCCTTTTCAGTGTCTTCAGGACCATCATCTTGCTTTTATGCTATCTGAGATCCTTTTTCTCCCACTGGGTCTCAAAGATAAAGTGCACAGCCAACGTGTAAACACATTATAGGTTTGGGTTTGGCTTCACTGATGCACTTGCAGTGACATCCTCTACTTTCTAGTTCCTTCTCAGCAGTTACATGTCTTTAGTAGTTTTAGGTGCTTTTTCTCTAGTGCTTATTCGACTTCATTTCTGCTGCTTGAGATTTCTTCTGGAACATAATCAAGTGGGGCTGAGCAAGACAGTAATGCACTATTGTGCACTGCTGACCTGTTGCTACCAAGGGGAATCTTTCAGCCCTTGGCAGCAAGAACCTCTGTGGCATTTGTTATGTTTGTACAAGACTTCAGTGTGAACTGTAGTTGGGCAGTCCACAGGGTGTGCTCAGAGTTTGGGTGTGATCAGGATGTGGGTGCAGTCAAGGCTGCCCATGTCCCCTTAGCTCTGACCCCTGAGACAATCGGGATGCTCTGCAGAGGCAGCTGTTCCTTTGTTCCTGTGACACAGACCTGGATGTGGAAGGGAAATCAGTGAATCCCATTGGAAAAGGATAGGGAGGAGTGGAGTCAAAGAGCTGGTAAGACATTCTGCTTCACTGTGTGCTCAGAGAAGGGACTAAATTACTGAAGATATGGTCTGAGGGATAAAGGAGTAAACTTTAAAGGAGGTGTTAAAGACTCTCTGTTCTCTTTTCATGTGTTGTCATCACTTCTCCATCGTGTGGGGCTGATTGCTGTGCTATCTCTGTGGCTAGGATGCCCAGAGCAGGTACCACGTGGGTGTTTGCTATGAGAAGGGCCTTGGAGTGCAGCAGAACCTGGCGGAAGCAATGAGACACTACCAGCAGTCAGCTGCTGCAGGGAACAGGAGCGCTCAGGAGAGACTTCGAGTGTTACAAGAGGAGGTGGAAGGTACCAGGGGCAGCAGGGGACAAGGGTGTGTGGGACTGCATGGGGAACTGATCCATAAAAGTGGGGCATGTACTGCCAGAGGAAGGGTAGCAGAGAACCATGGCAAAAAGGAGTCCTCTGCTGAAGGGAAGGAAGCAATTTCAGTTCATTCTTCTTGTTACCAGCTATTTCCAAGTTGAGCTGAAGAGGAGCATGCAGGGACATCTAGTATAGGTCATACTTTGCCTAGAAGAGTTGGACTAGGTGATCCTTGAGTTCCCAACCTGATATTCTATGTTTCTACAGAGAAACCATTCCCATAGAATGATGTGTCATTAATATCTCGGTTTAATGTACTTTCAGATGCGCAAACAAAGCATCCATTTTCTTCTGGAATGAGAGCCTCTTCCTCTAGCCCCAGTTTCTGGGCTATTGAGCCTGTGCATGTAGGCCACCACACCACCCAGCCAAGACAATCTGCCCTAACCCTGCCCCACTCATGGAGCGCGGACGGACTCCACATGATGATGCTCAGTGGTGCAGGATGGAGCCGTGCCCTCGGAAACAGGGCAAGGCCACGGGAATTTCAGTGCTTGGAGCCCCACCACTGCTGTTACTAGTTCAGTAGGTAAGTGAAACGAGCAGGCAGAAGGGAAGGCAACCCTTCTTGGTCTGTGTGGAGCTGGAAGCAGGCTAGCAGTGAGTGGAACGAGAAGGCTGTTAATGGAACAGGAGGCAATTTTAAATAACAGGGGTTTGAGAATAAACCTTGTGATATTCTTACTCCATGATGTTGTCTCTCTACCTTCCAATACAAGGACATTTTTTATGCTCTTACACTTCTGTATAAGCTTCACCATCCCACAGTGATGTCATTCCAGTAGCCCTGTGAATATTGCACGTAGTCCCCCAGTGAGGTTTACAAGCCACCATATGGTGTTGCTGGCAGCTAACTTTGTGATGGGCTTGGCCTGCACCCTCTGAGGCAATTTGATCTCACTTCAAGGCTAGCTATTCCCACAGTCTGGGATTCTCTCTGTATTGACATTGTGGCAGTTTAATTTGCTTTCAGACCTGTGCAAGCAAGAGTGAATTATTATTAGGGCACAGGATTTTGTGGGATATGGCTTATGGATCCACCTGTACTGGTGAGCGTACTGGCTGTCCTCAGGCATCCTGCACTGTTCTCAGTGTCCTTTGGTCCCCAGTTCTTATTCCTTCAGCTCTGGCAGCAAGCTGTTCCCACGGGTACACCCGTTTGAGTCACAACAAGCAAGGTTTGCTTCAGAATTTATATTGTGTGTGTTTGCTAAGCACGCCAGCTCATTTTCACTGGAGTGGATAAGGGATGCTCCCAGCAGGCAGCCACCACTGTCAGGCAGACAGTGGCAAGCAGCTGGTATGGTAATTCCTTCCACTGGGGCAGCTGAATCTGGAAAAAGACATTTGTCCACACCAGTTTAAACTGGTTCAAGGGCATCTGTACAAACTGTCCAGCTTCCTGTAGCCACGGTGCTCTGGTGCTTTGTGTAGATCAGGCTGTGAAAAACAAAGGCAATGGCCCCATCCTGAACTTGCTGTGGTCTCCATTCAGCAAAGGGAGTGGCACAGGCAGAGCTCAACACATCTGATTGTTCTTCTAGTCTGGTCTCTCTTTCTGCTCAGACCAAACTTTCTTAGACCATTTCCTTTATCAAGCAGGATACAATTAGCAGGAAATTCCTCGGGTGGATTTCCTATTCTGTGATAATCCACAGCATGCTTACGCATTGGTCAGGACAGGGTAAGGGTTGTGTAGGGGGTTGAAAATAGTTTGCAGAATCAGGAAATTGAACTGGGAGAGAGGAATTTGTCTCCTTTTTAGCCTGCTTATTATAGTGTATTTTTGTGTAAAGATTGTCCTTTAATAGGCACATCAAAGTAAATTTCCAGAGGAAGATGTGAGGTTGTGCAGTGTGTTTGTCCTCTGTGTGTGTTCCCAAGATGCAGAGGAATCCCACAGGGCTCCAGCTCCTCACAGTCACAGATCTGCCTCCCTTGTGGTTTGCACAGCTGCCTCTCAGTTAGAATTTGGCTCACTGTCATTGTTTTGGTGCAGTGTTTTGTTTGTGAAACAGAACAGCAAGGTACTTCTGCTAGCAGCGCAGCAGCATAAGCAGGCTGGGGCGAACCCATCAGTGTAGTTTATTGACAAAGATGGGGTGATCTGTAAATCACTTTGGAGTCTCTAAATACAACAGTGGGTATTTGGGATATTAAAAGAGTTTACCTGGGGAAATCTTACTCTGTTGCTTTTGTTGTTTGGTCCCAAGAGCAACAGGAAAGGATAACTTTCCCATTTCCTCTTCTTTAAATTATCTGTATGGTTTTCTGCTGCTGTGGCTCACGTGTGTCCACACTAAAAGAAGGGGACTGTCCCCTCTAGCTGCATGGAAAGAAACACAGATAGGACACTTGAGATGCTCCAGGATCACATCTGTTGGGTCATGCTTCCTATTATTTTTTAATTTAACAGTAAAACAAAAGCTAAAAATACCACCCAAAGACACCTGATGTAGCAGCCCTGCCATGAGCAGATCAGCTTTGGATAAGCCTGTGTTGTGAACTGCAGCATCTGTGGAGAAGCCAGGGCAGTATTTTTGATGTAGAGCCGGTGAAGGAAGCAAGCAGTGTGTATAAAGCACTGCTGGCCCTGCACTGTGGTGGAGGAAAGCTCTTCTCAGCCTCCCTTTTGTAGTCACTCTGCAAGCAATGCTGTTGTGTGCTGCTGCCATGGCTTACCCTCAGTGTTGTAGCTTGACTCTCCTCTCACTGGTACAGCTGCTTTGCCAGCACACCCCAGGTGTATTCTGATGGTTTGTATCCTAGTTGGAAGGCACAGACTGTGGTACAGAAGAGAGTGCCATGTGTGCGTGATCCAGAAGCACTTACCTGCCATCCATGCACTGCTGTGTAAGCCTGCAGATGCACTCCAGATGCTTGTGTTGTCTTTCCAACCTCTGCAAGTACAAATCCCCATGGTTAACAAGACCTGCGTGCTCCTTCTGTTTTTACTAATACCTGTACCTTAGTTTTCCTACGCATTCTATTAGCATAAAACTGTCTTATAGCTCACATACACACAGATCAAAGTGAAAACCTGTAGTATGGTTAGAACTTGTGACTTGACTATTCCAAAAGAGTGTTTTCACACTTCTGTTTTCCCAGGTTCCCTTTGGCAGGCTCCAGTCTGCTTCTGGGCAAGGACTTTGCTCCAAAATCCAATGGCCTCAAAAGAGAGCATGGAGAAGGAAGCTGTAGGCACCTTGTGCAGCCACAGGAGAGATGCCAGTGCTGATTTTGGGGCATTTTACAGAACGCCAAGTTCACACTTGTAGAACCACAAAAGCTGAAAACATCAGTGGGAGACAAGAGGCAGATCTCCTCTTTGTGAGATGCCATTGCAGGCTTTCTGCAGATACATCATCATGTCAGATACACTGCACCTCGCTCCAGAGATGGTAGTGTTTAAAAACCAACAATTTTATTTAAATAAGAACTGAGATCCTGGAGCCCAGCTCTGCAGTGTGCTGCAGAGACCAGGACTGCAATATTTGATCGTCCATGGTGCACAGTCTGTGATCACATGGATGTAGCTGACTGGGTTGTGCTTGTGGTTAAACTAACAAGCCCATCCCCTCAGTCAGCCTGCCCTGGGAGGAAAGGGCCTTCTTGCTGTTGTGTGACTTAAGTGTGATGTTAAGTAAGGTGTAAGATGAGGATGAAAGGGGAGGAAAGCGGGAAATGCCAGAATGGGCAGGTAGAAGGGAACTAAACAAGGTGAAATCAGTTGTAGAGAAATTCGATGGGGTGAAGCAAAGGAAGAAATATGCCTGTTGTGATCAATGTAGACACAGGAAATACAGTGACACGGTCAAAGCCCACATGTACACCTCAGATGCAGAAAGAAGTCTGACTCTTTATCTCCTTATCACAGCCACCAAGCTGCCTACAGAACAGGAGCATCATCTTCCAGTCCAAGGCTCTTCCCACGTGCCGACAGCTGCCGCAGAAGCCCTGAGCCTGTTTCATTGTGGACTTGGACCTTCTGGGACAAAATCATTTCAAAGAGGGTGCTCATTTCTGAAAGGAAGGTGCTGGCCAGCCTTGTCCCAGCAGCACTTGAGTCAGCCCCAGCACCTTTGCCAAAGGTCTCAAAGGTCCTTGGTTTCTCCTGCCTTGCAGCTTCCTCATCCTGAGGTGAATGCAGAGAGTCTGGGGAGAAGACGTTGTCCTTGTAACTGCTGGTGAGTGGCAAGGAGAGCCGAGCCACCCATGCTGGGTCAGCAGCCGTCAGCCTCTTGAGGGCCAGCTCTGCAGGGAATAAGAACAAGAACTGGTGAGATGTGGAGCAGAGGAGACCATGGGAGAAAAAGGGTGGGAATAATAATGCAAAATAAGGAGACTTCCTGAAATCAGCTGTGGGAAGACTGATTGTGAACAAGTCTAGAGATAAGCTACCAGCAGCATCATTCAAACCAGCAGCTGAAAAATCCCAAACCAACCAGAACTGATTTCTATCTACTGGATTTTTGTTTTGTTTTTTAAGTATAATAACCATTAGAATTACTTTGCTGTCTCATTTGTTGCAGCCTCAAGTGACACTTCACTAAATGGTTAGCAGAGTGAGGGTTAGGACTGGCTAAAGGGGAGACAACAATGGAAAGCTTTCAAGGGGAAGGTGTTGGCCAGAGAGAAGGTCAATTGTGGACTTCCCTGAAGGGCCACTCTAGGGTGGGAATTTGCTGCTAAGCAGGCATGCTGAGACTGAAAAGAAATGGGTTATTGTGAAAAAAGTAACAGAAGTAGAATGAAATTCTGGATTATAAAATGCACAGCTGGATGGTTGAAGACTAAGAACAGAAAACTGAGCTATAAAGTTGTCGTTCATCAATTGGAAACAGATGAGGAGCAGTGGGAGCTGGCGTGGGTGGTGGCTGCAGGCTCATGAGTGTACCAGTAATGTGATTCTGCCCCAAAATCATAGTGTGTTGGTCAAGGTATTCCCAGTTGACATGAAGACACAGCCCTAGTATTGTTAATAGGTCTGGCAAGACCTGGTTAGGAGTATTACATAGAAATCTGATTATCCATCCTTAGGAGGGAGGATCTGCAATGATAGAAGCATAAAGCAAATTGTTGAGATGAAAACAGGAATGAGCCCAGGCTTACGTGATTGAGACCACAAGAGGTAGGGGTTGCTTAGCCTAAGGAAGCAGAAACTCACCAGGGACCTGACTGCAACCTATCAGTATTTTGAGGCATTAAGCACCAACAAAGGAAATCTCTATGCTTAAAATAGTGTTGGCAAAAGAAGAAGTGATTATTACTGTCCATTAATAAACATATACTGGGAAATTAAAGGAAGGACCCCATAGCAGGGTGAGCCTGGAATAGCTTCCCCATCAGACAGCAGGGAAGGAAATGGGGGTTCTTGTTTTTAAGGTAGAGCTTTGCAGTTGGTAAACAAGACTCTGTGATGCAGTGCACAGATGCTGCCTTCCAGCCCCACACTGCTGCATATCCAACGTGTAACCTGGAACCCTGGGAGGTTTGAAGTGACCTCCAGGCTTGTGAGACAGAGTCAAAGAGCAGCAAAACAGGGCATTGGTGTCTGTTCACAAAGCACAGCAGTCCCAATCAGATGGTGTCATGATAATAATTACGTGGCTCTTGACTTACAAAGTGACCCCTGAAACGAGGGGCCCCATCCTGATGCCCTTATCGGGCTGCTTCCAGAAGATAATCAATACCCTCCAGAGCCTGGGACGTGTGGTCCTCAGTCCGGGTCTACTCAATCACTGAGACAAGTCTCCTTCCTCAGCCAGCTAAGTCATTAGTCTCTTTTTCTCTGGAAAACAGCCGTGTACTGGGGCAGGATGGGGGTGAGAGCTGGGATTCAAACCCAGGAAGGAGAGATGCATTGCTTAGATTGTGTTTCAGCTGAAGGCACAAAGTTCTTTTGTGTTGCTTAACTCCAGGATTTCTTTCCACAATCTCACTGTTTTCTTTCAGTCGCGGTGACTGTTCTGTAGGAGATTTCCCAAGCTGAATTCCCATGGTTTTCCTCTAAAATATCCTCAGTTCTCTCAGTCTGCAAGAAGCCACTGAGTTTCTGGAATATTTTGGTGCAGGGCACAGCAGTAGACTGCTCACTGCGGGAAGAGTCAGGACTCACAGTCCTGTGGCCATGAAACCTTGGCATTAGGTATGTTAAGACCAATAACTTTACTGCCTTACTTTAATGGTGTTTTGTGAGCAGGGGTTGTTTTTATAATCAATAAAGTTCTCTCACTCATCTGCTGCTGTGAACGCTGTTTCACTGGTAGGGGATAGGCGGTAATGGTACTGAGTGCTGAGAGTTCACCCCACAGCATGATGCTTTGCAGCATAAACAAGCCAAGAGCTGGCTGGGACAGATGACTCGTGCAGTTCCCCCCATTGAGAACAGCACAAAGGCCCAGACAGCCTCAGCCAGCTGCTCTGGTCCTCCAGAGCACAAGCAATGCTTCCTTCCTCCCTCTCTCAGGATGCAAGTCCACTGCTCTGTTTATGTTTGGGAGAGGAGGAAGGAATCCAGCAGCTCCGTCGGCTGCGCTCTGTTGCCTTTTTGGGAACATCTGGGCTCATGGTTAAGGTTCTTCACCACTGACCCAGGGCTTCTGTCATGTCCAGCACTACTGCACGGGCAGGAAGCCACAGGGCACAGCCTCAGCACTGGTGGTCAGTGACATTCCAGTCATTTGGTGAAAAGGTTCTTTTTCTATCAAATCCAAAAAGCATGGGAGGTGCCATCTCATGGATATGCCTCCCTGGAGCACAGATTTGGTGGGATGCTACGTGGCTGGGCAGGACTGGATCTGTCCAGATCTGCTGAGCAGATCACCAGTTCCTTTACTGGGACTGATGCATGTCAATACACCCATGGTGGGGATGGAGCAGGGCAGCTGCAGGACCTTTAAATCCGAGGAAGCTCATAGCTCTTATTTGACCCAGCCATTCCTTCCTTTGCTCCTTGTTAGAATAAAAGAGCAGGAAGGCCAACAGAGAGCAGCAGTGTGGTTCTGCCATGCAAGAGCACAGAAAATGCCCAGCTCTGGCATCAAAACAACCACAGCAGCAGTGCTCAATGAGCTCCTCTTGCTGTGGAGGAGCACAGAGGCTCCACAATGCAATTCCTGCTACAGGACATGAGTCAGCCCAACCCCTTCAAATTGAAATGCCAGTGGAAGAGATTTTTAGAACAAATCAATAAAAGGAACATGCAGAAAATGCCAGGCCCAGATGGGATTCACCCCGGAGTGCCAGAGGAACTCAGATATGAAATTGCTTGCTTTATTAGCTGCTGTTGGTTAACTACTGCTTTGGATGAACACGGGATCAGAGGAAGGGAAGGTAGAAACTGTGACAGGAGCTTTTAAGCGCGTGAAGGTGAATGTGGTGCAGGCAGAACCACAGCAATTGTTACATGCGAGGCTCGGCAGAGAGCCGAGTGCTCTTCAGACCAGAGCTGAAGTGACATTCGCAAGGTGGGGAAGCTGCAGATCTGTTGGCATCTTTGGAAGAGCTGGATGAAGAGTCCTGGCTGACAGAGGACACCTGAGCTTGCAGCAGCCAGGCTCAAAGGGACCTGAGCTGTCTCTGTGTTAACAGCCAGCTTCTGTTAGACTAATACGTGTTCAAAGCAAGGGTAGGAATAAATCTTTCCCTCAAAGGGAGGTCATTAGGAGAGTCCCAGAGTATCCATTCAACAGTGATGAATGTGGAGAAGTGGATGGCGGTGGTGTTGAGGCCACTGGAACACCCAATGCCACTGGGAACAGCCAACGTCGTGCAAGCAGAGGGCTGCTGAAGGACCTAATAGAACTGAGTGCCATAGCAAAAAGTGGCTGGTGGGTTTCTGTGTCACCAGCTATTGGATTATTGCCACGAGAACAGCACACTGTGTGTTGATGACTCTCCCACCACGCAGAAGAGGGATTTGGGAGTTACCGTGAACAGTTTGGTAACAACGTGGGGCTCAAGCAGGATAGGAATGAAGCAGAAACAAGAAGACCTCCTTATACCACCAGTGTAGATGTATCCTGAACATTGTGCTCAGTTCTGGTCACCACAGCTCAATAAAGATACACTAAAATTAGTAACAGGCCAGTCACAGGAGGCAAGCCTGGAGGGAAACAGGAGCCTGATGGGGCCCAAAGGGCACGTAACAGCTTGAGGGGCTTGACAAGGGCAGCTTCACCTTTCTCACTCTGCATGGACCAGCAGACCAGGAAACAAAGGGGCTCAGGTGAGTGCGGGAAGCAATTCACATGATGCATAAGCTGCACTTCACCCCCTTGCAACAGAGGTCAGCCTCACAAATCAGCTGGAAAGGAGCTCATAGAATCATAGAATGGTTTGGTTTGGAAAGGACCTTAAGACCATCCAGTTCCAACCCCCCTGCCATAGGCAGGGACACCTCCCACTAACCCATGGCACCCAAGGCTCTGTCCAACCTGGCCTTGAACACTGCCAGGGATGGAGCATTCACAACCTCCCTGAGCAACCCATTCCAGTGCCTCACCACCATAACAGGAAAGAACTTCTTCCTTATATCCAATCTAAACTTCCCCTGTTTAAGTTTTAACCCATTACCCCTTGTCCTACCACTACAGTCCCTAATGAAGAGTCCATCCCCAGCATCCCTATCCATGACACATGCACAGAAGAAAAGACCTACCAAGAGGGATTAAACTCATGAAACCCAAGGCGAAGCTCAGCAAGTGCCTTTGCTATAAATTACCTGGTACCAAAAGCATAAGATGGTTCATAGAATCCCATCCTGGTTTGTGTTGGAAGGGAGCTTAAAGCCCATCCAGCTCCAACCCCTGCCACGGGCAGGGACCCCTTCCACTGGAGCAGCTTGCTCCAAGCCCCTGTGTCCAACCTGGCCTTGAACACTGCCAGGGATGGGGCAGCCACAGCTTCTCTGGGCACCCTGTGCCAGCGCCTCAGCACCCTCACAGGGAAGAGCTTCTGCCTAAGAGCTCAGCTCAGTCTCCCCTCTGGCAGGTTCAAGCCATTCCCCTTGGCCTGTCCCTACAGGCCCTGATGCAGAGCCCCTCTCCCCCATCCTTGCAGCCCCCTTCAGACACCGGAAGCTGCTCTGAGGTCTCCACGCAGCTTCTCTTCTCCCCGCTGAGCAGCCCCATTGCTCTCACAGTGCCCTGAGCCCCCGCGCTGCCGAAGCCACCCCCGGAGCTGCGCTGTCCCCCGGCTCGCCGCAGCCGGTTCCGCCTCCTGCATGGTCCGGGTGCGCTCCCGAGCAGCCCCCCCCAGCGCCTCCTCACCCGCCTGCGGCTCCAGCAGCGTCTCCAGCTCCTCTCCCACCAGCTGCGGCACCGACAGCTCGAAGCCGCTCTCGGAGTCGCGGTCCTCGGCCTCGGCCTCGCTCTCTCCGTGCCCGCTGTCCTTGGTGCTCAGGCAGTCAGCGTCCGGCCCCGCCGCCCTGCAGGGACACAGCCCCCGTCACTGCCCAGCCCCAGCACTGCCCATGGGGCTCCTCTGGACGTGGTTGTCTTCATCCCCCGTGAAGCCACCCAGAGGTGGGGTGAGGGCATCCTCCCCGAGCATCGTTCACGTAGAAGGAACGATAATCTCAGTCCCCACCAGTCAATGAGTTTGGGGGCTGTTTGGTTTGGGGTTATGGGCTTTCTAAAGAAACAAACACATGAGCAAAAGCACTGGGGTCAGGGTCCTGGGTGGGTGCTGGGTGCTTCACATCTTGTCCCAGAGGGGTTTTATCCTTCTGCAGGCATATCCTGAGCAAACAGGGAGATGCCGGCTCTTCCCTGTGAGCGCAGAGGAGCTCCAGGTGAGGAGCATCACAGCCCAGCCCCAGCAGCCCCAGAGCTCAGTGCAGCTCTTCCTCCCTCTTCCTCCCTCTTCATCCTCAGCAGATGGAGGTGGTGATGAGAAGGGTGGAAAAGCTGTGTCTGCCCGTGTGCTGGACAGGGGGACATGGCAAGTCAGTGATACAGCCCTGGCATGTGCTCAAGAGCATTCACCCAGAGACATCAACAGCGTAATTTAATGGGAATGCCATAGTTTGTCTTTGGGAACAACTTCAGCATACATCTGGGATATGTCAGTCCTTCCCATCGCTACTGAGAGTGTCTCCCTCAATTACCTTCTGGCCTTGAGATAGATGTCCTGAACTCATGTCAACAGGCAACAGCATATCTAAGAAAGTACCCAAAGCAATGATAAAACTCATGTTTATGGTGATGCCTTCAATGATGCGCTCATGAGTTCACCTTTCCATCATGCTTGAACACATCAGTGCTGCCCTAGCAAGGATGGGTCTATGGTTTGTGACCATGGAGGTGCTCAGGTGAGTAAGGAAGAAGCTGCCAAAGGTGCCCCAGGAAGGAGGCAAAGAGCAGCCCTGGGTACCAACAGGGAGCCAGGACCAGAGGAGCACGTTCATCCCCTGAAGGAAGACCCCAGGCTCTGGTCAGCAAACCCAGGGTGAGGTTTTGCCCTGTGTATCTGCTGCCCTGGGGGCTGTTGGGACCAGCAGGGCTGAAGCAGATGCAGCAGAGACACAGGGTAGCGGGGCACGGATACGGGAAGGGCTGAGCGCAGCCTTACCTGCTGCCGCTCTTGGCCGTGTACTTGTTTCCGCGGTGGTTGGTTTTGGGCTGGAACTGGCCCTGGTGCAGCAGAGACAGCAGCTGGGAGATTTGCTGCAAGGCAGGAAAAGGCTGTTGGTGGCCGCTCAAGCTGCTTCCTGCCAGGACATCCCCCCCCAGCCTTTTTATAGCGTTTCCTCCTCCTGCAGATGGTTCCGCATCCCCACGCAGGCACAAACAAGGGGCCGGGCAGCCCACCTGGTCCCCCCACGCCGCCCAGCCCTGCCCTGCCCTGCCCTGCCCTGGGGAGGTGGGTGAGTGAGTCCCCTTCTCCCCATCGCAGCACCCAGGGGAGGTGTGGGGAGACCCTGCCCGTGGTGGGGAGCCCGCTCACCTGCCCAGCCCCACTGCCGGGATGGGAGACCAACCAAAGACCATCAGGTTGCATGTTCCATGCCCCATCCCAGGCAGTGTTCAAGGCCAGGTTGGACACAGGGGCTTGGAGCAAGCTGCTTTAGTGGAAGGGGTCCCTGCCCATGGCAGGGGTTGGAGATGGATGAGCTTTAAGGCTCCCTTCCAACCCAAACCAGGCTGGGATTCTGTGTTCCCACCACCCCAGACCTGGGCAAGGAAGGATTTGGGATGTGGAGGGGATCAGCACATGGGGCAGCTCCTACCTGCACCGGGGGTGACTCCATCGCGAACTCCCCGTTGGGGCTCTGCTCTGCCAGTGCCACCAGCGACAACCGGACCAGGCTCCTGAGGATGTGCTGGTGGGGCTGGGGCTGCCCAGGGGCTCCAGCACCCATGGGCTCGCTGGGTGGCAACGGGGGCTCCCCCAAAGGCCCCTGCAGTGGCTTCACCAAGCTCTTGCTGTGCAGAGGTGCCTCCTCTTTCACCGCGTTCTTCTGCCGGTGGGGCTGGCAGGGCCGGCGCTGCAGGATGGGCAGGTCGAAGCCCTCCTGCTGCTCATCCAGGTCCTTTTGGGCCCTCTGATTCCTCAGCGTCCTGTACAGAGTGGGGGTGAGGTGGAGGGGAGCCCCCTGCTCCGGGGAGCCTGTGCCAGGCAGATCCTCCTGGCAGGGCCGGGGGGGCTCAGCATCCTGGGGCCGGCCCCGGAGCAGGGGGACGAGGTGGATGTCTGCCTTCTGGATCTGCCTGTGCGGCTTCTTGAGGTGCTGCTGCCTGCGGGCATCCTCCGCCTCCCTGCAGTTGTAGGCCATGCCGTCCTTCTTCTCCTTCTTACGCAAAGACAGGGTCAAAGCCAGAAGGAGAAGGCACCCCCCCAGGAGAGCGGCCATGCAGGTCACCACCACCACGGGCGGGCTCCACCACGCGGGATCCTGCGCTGAGATCTTGGAGAAGGCTCCGTGACTCCGGAAAACCAAGCGGAGCCGGGCCAGGGTGTGCAGGGGAACGTCCCCCCCGTCGCTCACCCGCACCAGCAGCTCCCGCTCGCTGCCCGCAAGGCTGCTGGCGTTGCTGGTGTTGAGGAAGAGCTGCCCCAGGAGAGGGTCCAGGATGAAGAGCCCCACGTCTTCCCCCCCCACCAGCTCATACCGGAGAGCCCCGTTGGTGCCCGAGTCCACATCCTTGGCCACGATGGTGAAGAGGAAGGGAGGGCCAGCACACGACACCAGCGTTGCATTGGTCACCGCTGCAGTCCCTTGGGTGCTCCCATTCCCGGGCACCACCCAGAGGCACCCTGTGTCCGCACTCACCAGCACGGAGAGCGTGGCTGTGCCTCCCACCAGCGCTGGTGCGGTGATGATGGGCGCATTGTCATTCCTGTCAAGCACAGCCAGCCTGATGGAGGTGCTGGATGCCAGCCTGGGGTGACCACCATCCTCTGCGGTCACCAGGAACTCCAGGCCCCTCATCTGCTCGTAATCAAAAGCCTGGAGGGCAAAAACATCCCCAGTGGTGGGGTCAACTGAGACCAGACTGGAGGCGGAGGAGTCCGAGATGCTGTAGGTGATTTTCCCATTGAAACCGAGGTCAGGGTCGGTGGCACGGACAGTGAGCAGCAAGGTGGGTGCTTCACTGTTCTCAGCAACAGCAGCCTCATAGGTGGCCTTGTCGAAGGAGGGAGCGTTGTCGTTGACGTCGCTGATGCAGATAGTGAGGTGCTTCAGCACGGCCAAGGAGAGCTCACCCTGGTCTCGCACCACCAGTGTCAGGTTGTACTCGGCACGCAGCTCCCTGTCCAGCGTGGCGTTGGTCATCAGCACGTAGCTGTGGCTGTTGGTCCTCTTCAGCCTGAAGTGCTCGTACCCCTGACTGAGGGAGCATTGCACTTGCCCGTTGCTCCCCGAATCGGGGTCACTGGCTGTCACCAGAGCCACGAAGCTGTCCTTGGGGAGGGCTTCAGAGAGCACGGGCACCCGAGCAGCCCAGGTGACGTGGACATCGGGAGCGTTGTCGTTGACATCCAGCACTTTGACCAGGACCTTGCAGTGGGCTGGGATGGGGTTGGCACCCAGGTCCCGGGCTTGCACATCCAGTTCATAGGCCTGGGTTTCCTCATAGTCCAGCGGGTGCCTCAGGATGATGCTGCCAGTGCGGGCATCAATGCTGAAGGCGCTGAGCACCTCCGGGGGTGCGTGCTTGCTCAGGCTGTACTCGATCTCCCCATTGGGACCCTGGTCAGGGTCGGTGGCTGTGACTGTCACAAGGAGGGTCCCGGGCAGAGCATCCTCCCGAACCTCCACCGTCAAAGAGCTCTCTGCAAAGACGGGGCTGTTATCGTTGGAGTCAAGGACAATGACTTTGATTAAAGCGGTACCTGATTTTGGTGGCTCCCCATGATCAGCAGCTGTCAGCACGAGGTCGAAGGAAGAGTGCAGCTCCCGGTCCACCTCTTTGACCACAACAAGCTCCGCGTGCCTTGTCCCATCGGAGCTGGAGACAACCTCCAGGGCAAAGTGCTCGCTGGGGGACAGGGTGTAGGAGCAGCGGGCGTTGGGGCCAGCATCGGCATCCAGAGCTCGATCCAGCGGGATCCGCGTCCGCAGGGATGCGCTCTCCGACATCTCCAGCTCCAGCTGGGGCGTGGGGAACCGCGGCGCGTTGTCGTTGATGTCCAGCACTTGAACCTCCACGTGGACCAGCGCCAGGTTCCGGGCGGCCAGGACGTCGAACGAGACCCAGCAGGGATCGCTGTGCCGGCACAGCAGCTCCCTGTCCACCCGCCCGGCCGTGCTGAGCACCCCATCCCCGCTCCCCACGAGCAGCGGGAAGCCCCCGGGGGTCTCCATCAGCTGGAAGGTGTCCGCTGCATCGCCGCTCTCACCCCCCTCAAAGTGCTCGGCCAGCGCCCCTATCACGGTCCCCGGCGGCACCTCTTCGAACACCCGGTACTGCACCGTGAACGTGGCCACCTCCTGGGCATCGGCGCAGAGGAACAGGTACCACCAGAGCGCCGGGAGCTGCAGAGCGCAGCGGCTCAGCAGGAGCACGCTGCTGGCCAAGCGGCACATCGCCGAGGGCTGCCCCGCCGCCCGCCGCATTCCCCGGCCGGCCTTAGGGCGACCGCGAGTGCTCAGCATCCTCTCCCATCGCCGCGTCCCGCAGGCGCCAGCCGCCGGTTGGGAAGGAGGAGAAGTCATGAGCGAGCCCGGCGGTTGTCCCCCTCCCCGCCATCACCGGGGACAGCCGAGGGGCTCCCCGGGCTGAACGGCTCAGCCCGGAGCAGAGGGACCAGCGCTGCTGCTGCTGCAGCTCCAGCCCGGAGCAGCGTCCGGCCGGGCCGGGGCCGGGCCCTGCACCAGCCGTGTTTCCTATGGAAACCCCACCTACAGGAAAAGGGAGGACCGGGCTGGTACAATGCCTGGTGGGGTGGGGGGCTCCCCAGCTGGGAGAGGGCTGTGGATGCCATCAGCTTCCAGACTGCAGGGACCACCACCACTGCCCGCTGTCACCTGCAAAGTGTGCTTTGTAGAAGGCACAAGTCCTGCACAGAGCCCCTGTCCCACCTGCAAAGCCTCACGTGTGCTGCAGGAAGATGCCTGCAAGGACGGGTGATGCTCCTGCATTAGCTTCTCCCCTACACTGTTAGATTTCTGACCTCATAGAGTAACAGGGCTTGAAGCAAGCTGCTCCAGTGGAAGGTGTCCCTGCCCGTGGCAGGGGCTGGAACTGGGTGAGCTTTAAGGTCCTTTCCAGCCCAAACCAGTCTGGGATCCTGTGAAATAATGCACAGAAGGATTTGGTGTAAAATCAGTGCTGGGTGAGGAGTGACACTGGGAAAATCAAGGCAGAGTCAAGCGGGTTAGAGCATGTGCCAGGGCAGGGGGAGCCGGCCAGGACAGATGGACAGAGGGAAGGGGAGAGGCCTGACAGGACACGGCTCACATCTGCCAGCACTTTCTTTCTTCCCCTGTGCCTGCCTGTGTGTGAAGTGGCAAGGCTCCCAGTGACTCATGAGCTCATCCTGCTGTGTCCAGATGAAAATGAAGCAGTGACATAATCAAAAGCCACATGTTGGAAAAGGTGACATAGGCGCAGTGCCCTCAATGCGACAGCAAAAGGCAGAGCAAGGGGCAGGGATTACACAGCAGAATTGGGCAACGTGAAATAAATAGATGAAAGGGTCTGAAGAAACCTTATAACAACCCTCCAATATCTGAAAAGGCCAACAAGAAACCTGGAGAGGGGCTTGGGACAAGGGCCTGTAGGGACAGGCCAAGGGGAATGGCTTGAACCTGCCAGAGGGGAGACTGAGCTGAGCTCTTAGGCAGAAGCTCTTCCCTGTGAGGGTGCTGAGGCGCTGGCACAGGGTGCCCAGAGAAGCTGTGGCTGCCCCATCCCTGGCAGTGTTCAAGGCCAGGTTGGACACAGGGGCTTGGAGCAAGCTGCTCCAGTGGAAGGGGTCCCTGCCCATGGCAGGGGTTGGGACTGGGTGAGCTTTAAGGTCCCTTCCAACCCAAACCAGTCTGGGATTCTGTGATCCCATTCCCATCCCTCCCTCCTCCTCTCACTGCTCTGATTTTCCCACCTGAGGCTCCCCCACCTCCTGCATCCCTGCTCTCACTTTTCTTTATTACAATAGATTTTTACCACCACAATGAGCAGCAAAAGCAAACCCACGCTGGTGCCCAGCAGCCCCTTCACTGCAGCTGGGTCAGTGCCACCCCTCAGCACACAGGAGGAAGGGACGGTGCAGCTCAGCTGTGCCGGGGGTACCAGGAGCCCTGGTGCTATTCCTGGGCTCAGCCCCAGCTCCAGGTGACCTTTGCCAAGTCATTTCCCTGCTTTGTGCTGTGGTTTCCTCCTCAGCAGAACCAGGGCAGTGCTGGCGCTCCCGCAGGGATGCGCTCCTGCTGCGCTGCGCATGGAGAAGCGGATGTCTCCTGGCCCGTGCCCTGCTCTCGGGATGCTTCCTTCTGGGGGAGGCTCATCCTCCCATCCCCCTTTTTCATGGCTTCCCCCCCGGGATGGGGAGGAACTGAAGGACTGCACGGAGCTACCAAAACGGAAAGGAAATCAACCGGTGAGCTTTCCCCATAGAGCCCCGTGAGCCACCTCCTTCTACCCAGCACCTCCCAAGCCACCTGCACAACAATCCAGCCTCACCAAGTGCCCCATGTTTAGCCCACCACTGGTGTAATGGGAGGTGTATTCCGCCTGACACCAGCACCCATGCAGCCTTCAACACACCTGCAGGAGGGAGGATGTGCCTTCAGGCTGCTGCAGACCCAAACTGCTCCTTTTTCTGCCCAAAGGCAGAGAAGCAGAGGGGATTTTGCGCACCGGGTTGCTTGGACACCATAGGGAACGGCTGATGTGACAGCCCTGGCACTGGGAGAAGTCACAGTCACCAAGAGAAGGGCTATGACCCCCTCCTGAGCACTGTCCCCAGTCTGGCTGTGCAGATGCACCGCCCAGAAGAGGAGCTGACACATTCATTAACTCAGTGCTGCAGGAATGACTCCCCACAGAGCAGACCGGTGACCCCAGGCCACCAGGACATCAGCAGTTTGCAGGGAGAAGGGCTGCAGGATGCTGCGGAAGCATCACTGAGCTGCAAACCACACCAGCTGCACCTGGGTGGGAGATGGACAAATGATGCTAACAATGAAAACAGCACAATGGGGTTGAGCTGGAGTTAGCTAGAACCACAGACAGCAAAGTGAAATCTGGTGCTAAACCTGAACATGTCTCCTCCTGTTTGCTGTTCACACCCAGGCAGGTTTCCAATGTGCAAGTGTTTTAAGACCTCCATAGACAATGTTGTGTCTATGAAGATAAAATTCCCCCTCTGGCAGGTTGGCTGCACCTAAACCCTTTCATTTAAAGCTCAGAAAGTATCCCGGGCTGGTTTGGGTTGGAAGGGTCCTTAAAGCTCACCCAGTCCCAACCCCTGCCACAGGCAGGGACCCCTTCCACTGGAGCAGCTTGCTCCAAGCCCCTGTGTCCAACCTGGCCTTGAGCACTGCCAGGGATGGGGCAGCCACAGCTTCTCTGGGCACCCTGTGCCAGCGCCTCAGCACCCTCACAGGGAACAGCTTCTGCCTAAGAGCTCAGCTCAGTCTCCCCTCTGGCAGGTTTAAGCCATTCTCTCTGGCAGTTTAAGAGCATCAGTTATATTCAGTTCTTGCAGCAGTATTCCTCAGCTTCTGCGTGATGCCATTAGCACCCAAAGCAGATGTAACTGCTATTTACTGGTGTGAATCTGACTCCTCTGAAGCTCAGCTGCTCTCCAGGCTCCAGAGCAACAAGGACACAGTGGACACCCCAAACTTGCAGGGGTGCAGAGCTGTCCTGGGTGCACCACACGCTCCCCATCCATCACAGGGCGTGGAGCAGCCCCACCACATTATTCCAAGGTCCTCAGCACAGCTGGAGATCTTCAATGCTGTTTGTCACTGTGGGATGGTTTGGTGCTAGCTGGGAGCAGGGAGCTGCACCGCACACCGGGAGCAAGGGCACAGGGCAACGTGAAAGTGAGAAAGGAGAAGTGATTTCAAATCCAATAATGAGAAACCAACATCATCAGAAGAGCTCAAAATGAGGCTGACTGAAGACATGTCAAGATTTGGCCTCATCAGGGTGCTCAGGGCTTACCTGGGGAGCAGGACTCAGTCTCATTCTGCTCTACAGTTGCTCCACGGGGTGGGGAATGGTGTTGGAGGATCAGGGCACAGAGATGGACAACAGGATGCTCCCCGAGGTGGATGCTCTCTCCCAGCTCTGTACCTCAGGGCACCATCCCTACATGGAGCAGGGAAAAGCCTGGCTGTTTCTCCCCAACCTGGGCTCATGCTCAGCTGTCCCAGTGTTCAGCCCTCTTAAACCAGGCATTGCTTCTGTACAAGGGTCACCCACTTTTCAGCAAGAAAAAGCCTTTCCTGAACCCGTCTCTGTGCAGTCGATGCTTCAGGAGCTGGGTGCAGACGCACGAGGTGGCCCAGGACCTGCAGGGATTGAGGAGGCTTTGGGGGAACCTTTCTCAGGAGGAAGGAAACGATTCACACTCACACCAAACAGCAAGGAGGCAAACCTGCAAGAGAGCCTGGCCCACGCTGTGCTCATCTGCAGGCAACCAGCGGGTAACACTGGGTCAAGGGACTCCACCTCCCACCCAGCCTGATCCCTTTTGGCTGGGGCGCTCATCCTCCATCCCAGCAAAGCTCTCTCTCTGTCTCCTTGTAGCCTCCTCCAGCGATGCCCTCCTTGCTGGGGGGCCCCCGAACGAGCCGCATCCCTCCAACCACCCCCAGAGCCGGAGGGAGGCGGGCGGCATCACCCCCGCCCGGCGCTGCGCAGCGTGCAGTTGGCTGCCTCCGCCACCAGAGCCCACTGCTGCTCCACCACCGGCCCTGCGGTCCCGCGGGCACAGGCACCGAGCACCGAGCACCGAACCCCAAGGAGAGGGGCCGGGACCACCCTCACCCCGCTGCAGGGAGGCCCTGGGTGATGCCTCAGCTCCACTCATCCTCACCTGATGCACCCCTGATTCCAGGCAACCCTGCGGCCTCAGGAGCATCCTGCAACCCCAGCTGCATCCCTGCTGAACACCCCTGGGAGCTGTGTGCCTCTGCAGGGGTTGTGTAGGTGCTGCCCTGCAGCAGGTGAACACCCTGATTAGAGGCTTCATTGCTGCTGCTTTTAGAAGCTTCCAAAAGCAACAAATCGGGCTTTGAGGAAAGCAACTACCTGCAAAGTGTGTGATAGCTCCATCTCGCTGTGCTCCAGCACTCCCCTGTGCAGAGGGTGTGATAAGAAGGGTTATTGTTGCTCTGAGCTCATATGAAAAAGATTAATGCTAAGGAGAGGAAGCAAGTTACAAGTGAAACAAATTGTGTTTGAATAGAGAGTAACACTGCTATGGGAATTTGCATGCACAGCCTCTGCCACTCCAGGGCCCGAATGTCTTCTCTGACAGCTGCAAAGAGCAACCCTATAAGCAGAGAGCAGCAGAGCTGGCCAAATGTGAGAGAGAAGAATCTGTAACAATGATGGGGTTTGTGTAGGAGAAAGCAATGAGGAGCAGAGTTGAGGAGTAACCTTTGGTGTTCTTCTGGATGAGAAAGCTGCAAACGCTGGCACTTGCTTGGAACAGCAAGTTTGCAAATGAAATACATGGAAAAATTCCTAAGGCCGGGACTTCAATATGAGATATATCCAGAAAAGGTCACATAGAAGGAGAGAAGCTGTGGCTGCCCCATCCCTGGCAGTGTTCAAGGCCAGGTTGGACACAGGGGCTTGGAGCAAGCTGCTCCAGTGGAAGGTGTCCCTGCCTGTGGCAGGGGTTGGAACTGGAGGAGCTTTAAGGTCCCTTCAACACAAACCAGGCTGGGATTCCATGGAGCCACTGACAGCTCCTGGACTGGGCTGGAAGGTTCAGATCTGGGGGAAACTGGAGCCCCATCAGCACCACATTCACTGCCACCTTCATTTGCTTTCAGTTTGACACCCTGGAGCCCCTGAGCGCCGGCAAAGCGCTCTGCACCAGTGGGGTTTCCTCAGCTCCCTCTCTGTGCAAGTGATAGATCTAGGGCACAGCAAGCTGCAACATAAATCAGACTATTATGAGTCCCCAGCGGCTGCAAATCAATGAGTTCTGCTGATAATCACCCATTTTATCTTTCTCATTATTAATATTTAGACATTTTTAATCTTTCCTTTGCAAACACAACGTTTCCCCGCTGTGCTTGTCCTTCAGCTGCTCTGCAAGCTCCTGCTTCTGCAAGCAAAGGCTTTGCCTTGAGCCAACCTGCTCCCAGCTCTGAAACGCTACAAGCACAGGAGCTGGGCGATGGCTCCACCAGCTCCCCTGATGGGTGACACCAGGCGAGGGCACAGGCAGTGTCCCTGGGACACGGTGTGGCCAGCCTGGGTACCGCAGCGAGCAGCGTGTGTGTGAGAGGGGTTCTTAAACTCTTGGACTGAGCCCCACTGCTTGTTGCGAGGGAGCAGCTGGGTTATCACAGCCGGGTTATCACAGCGGGGTTATCACAACGGGATTATCACAGCCGGGATTATCACAGCCGGGATTATCACACTGAGCTGTGTGGCGCAGTCACACACTGGAGGGAAGGGATGGGATCCAGAGGGACCTGGGCAGGCTGCAGAGGTGGGACCCTGCAAACCTCATGGGGTTCAACAGGGCCAAGTGCAAGGTCCTGCACATGGGTCAGGGCAATCCCCAGCACAAACAGAGGCTGGGGGAGATTGAATGGAGCAGCCCTGAGGAGAAGGACTTGGGGGTGTTGGTCAATGAGAAGCTCCCCATGACCCAGCTTCAGTGTGTGCTTGAACCCAGAACCCCCCCATGTGCTGGGCTGCATCCCCAGAGCCTGAGCAGCAGCTCAGGGAGGGGATCCTGCCCCTCTGCTGGGCTCTGGGGAGACCCCCCCTGCAGTCCTGTAGGGATAGGAATGAGCTTCAAGCAACCTGCTCTAGTGGAAGGCGTCCGTGCCCATGGCAGGGGGTTGGAACTGGATGAGCCCTTCAACCCAAACTGGTCTGGGACTCTATGGAGCTACAGGTGTCATTCAGAGATGCCCCTGGAAGGTGGTCAGCTCTTCAGATGGTGCTCATTAATCAGGGAGGCACACATTGAAAGATAAGCCCTCTGTTACCACACAGAGGGAGGCAGTGGTTTCCAATGGAAATGACACACCTTATTTCCCGTAACAGACGTGTGGAAGAGCTGATAATGCACTGTCACCTCTGGAAAACAAAAGGGAAAACATCAAAACAGAAAACACTCCTGCAGAATTAATATAAATTAAGTTTATTGTAGAGACCAGAATTTCCCAACAACTCCAAGTACTGCTTGGCTTTACAGTGAGTGAGAGGAAGGAGGCTGGAGCACCTGCTGTGTCACAAACACCTCCAGTGTTCACAGGAACAGGTAAAGGACCTCGTTTCTCATCCAGCAGCGCACAGAGGGATCTGTGCCAGGGATGCAGCTTAGGACAACGTGGGTCTGCCTTTTCTGGCCATGCCAGCCCCGCCATCGCTCCCTCCTCAGATGGGATGTGCCCTGCTGCTTCCAACACTGATCCAGTTGCCAGGTCCCTGCTTCCCTTGGCACAGGGACAGCACACAGAGAAAGGGACAATGAAGGTGACCACAGTGAAGATGAGCTCAGGTCTCCCCATCCCTGCCACTGAGCACAGATGCTGCAGGCTCTGCCCAGAGATGCACATGTTCCTCTACCAGTGCCAATGCCTCCAGATGTTCAGCCAGCTGCAAGGGGTGCCCAATGTGCCATCACCACCTCTCTTGCTTATCCTATGTCTCTTCTTCTCTCACCTGCTTCCACAGAGGGATCAGACACAGGGGGATCCTCTGCTGCTGGCTCCTCTGTGGAAACACCACCATGGGTGCAGGAGCTGCGTCCTCTTCTGCCTGTTTGCAGGAGGGAGGACAGTGTTTCACCCCCCCAACAGAGGGAAAGGGGCTGTGGCAGGGGGGGAAGAGGGGCTAGAGGCTTTCCTATGCTGTACAAACGGCATAATGAGGACACTGTGCATGTGGAAACATCTTTAAGCTGGAAAGCAATTCCAAGGTGATGCAACTTCCAGCTCCTGCCAAGGGGATGAGCACAGGCCCAGAGCTCCCCAGCTGGGACAAGGACCAAGAGCTCCCCCGCCACTCCCAGACAGCGTGGGACAGGTAAAACCAGGGCGAGAAAAACCAGAAGGGATGCTAATGCTGTCCCATGTAGGCTGACCCAGCCCCAGAGCCTGGGCTGGGGACAGCAGCACCCCAAGGCTGGACTTGTGGGGGCTGATGATGGGTCAGCACAGTGACATCAACCCCCCCACTGAGCCTGCCGGGGGGGAGACACAGTCCTGGGGAGCAGGACCCGGTGAGTCTGGGGCTAAGCCAACATCCCAGGCACTGCTCATCCCGCAGGACACGGTCCCCGTGGTCCTGCCCGGGTGGCCATCACAGGTACGTGATCTCGATGACATTGGGCTCGGCGCTCCCGCAGGCGAGGTGATGCTTGCAGGAGCACTGGCAGCTCACAGCGGCCAGGTCCCACGGGCAGGGCTGGGCAGGCAGCTTCTTCTGGGAGCCCAGCTTCCTCCAGTCCGTGAGGTGCACGCCGGTGTCCATGTCCTGCGGCATGGGCTCGTGGTACAGGGTGATCTGCACGGTGCGGAGGTGCGGGCCGTAGTGCACCACGAGGATGATGAAGACGGCCAAGAGCACGAAGATGAGGACGATCACCGAGATCATGGGCAGGGCATCGGACTTCTTCGTCACGCTCCTGACGATGGTGACGGGGGTGAAGGCGGCCACGTCCTGGGGCTCCGGCTGCCTCAGCTGGCTGCTGGGAGCGGAGGTGTTCATGGCTGAGCAGGCTGACCTGGGGCAGGGAAACACGGGGTGATCACTGAGGAGAGGCCGGCTGATGCCCTGGTGCCCTGCCCTCGAGTCGGCAGCTCCCTCCTGCACCTGCAGCTGCCAGGGAATGGGGTGGTGCTGTAAGTGACTGTGGGATGGGATCAGTTTCTCTGGGGTTGTAGGATGCTGCCCTGGACACGCTCAGCTGGGGGTAATGCTCTGCATCCCCTCAACCTGGACACCTTCAGTGGGGGGCTCTTCATTCTCCACGACCTCACAGACTCATAGAATAAACCAGGTTGGAAAAACCTTTAAGATCATCAACTCCAACCATTCCCCCAGCACTCAAAACTCCACCACTAAACCATGTCACTAAGGGCCTCATGTACATGGTTTCCCACCCTCCCCTCTTCACCCCCAGTCCCGCAGTGCTCACCCAAACCCCACAGGGACCCAACCCCACCAAACCACACCGCGAGGCATCCCCTGCCCCAGCCACAGAACCCCGTGGGAGCCAGCACGGGTAGGGGGCAAAGCAGGGAGGCAGAGCCCCGCAGCGGTACCTCGGTGTCCCTGCGGCGTGGGAACCATCCTCTCCCGCGGGGCGCTGAGGGCAGCCGAGCCTGCGGACGGCTCTGCCCGTTCGCCCCATCACAC